TACCCCTACCTAACCATCATTTGACGGATGAAGTTCATGAGCTAACTTGGTATCCTTGTGCAGTGCGCATTTGGCGTTCACCTTTTTAGACGAAATCATCGATATTCTGTTTGGTGAAATCCAGGGCAGGAAACAGCAGCCAGGGGGGTAGGTAATGAAAACAAGCAGGCAGTCGACTATGACAGGCAGACAGACAGACAGACAGCAGACAGACAGGAGCAGAAGAAGGCATTGAGTGCGCCACATCAAACACATGAGATACAGGAATGGTATCAGATCAACAGATTCAATACCCTAGAAAACTAAAAACCGATGTAAATCCAGAGAATATCTGTCATGCAAAATCATGTCATAGGTGGCTTTGACAATGGTGATGCGGTGGTGGTGGTGGTGGTGGTGGTGGTGGTGGTGGTGGTGGTGACTACTTGTAAACGTGTTTACAGCGTGACCTTCAAGTAGTAGACTACCCACTCCAAATCATTTCGTATCTCTTGATCAAAACAATTTGCGATCACAGCAAGTACATGCAACCATAGATGGTAGAAAACTGGGGATTCCGTCCGCTCTTCCCTAGGCTACCAATTGCTCGACTAGTAGTTACGTTGGTTGACGACCGAATCCCAGGTGTTGTGGGTTTTTCAGGGTTTTTTTTTTTTTCTCTTCATTTTTCATCAGACCTTATTTCAATTTCATGCACGATACTGTAGACAGCCAGATATGCGATGTCTATTACCGAGAACAATAACGACGGACATTGACAACAATGGAACTTGATTGCTGTTTGTGGTAAAGGTATCAGTCATAGGAAGAGACAAGAGGGTTTCGCGATGAACCCAGCGAAGCAGTCGAAGAAAAAAAAAAAAAAAAATGTAAAGAAAAAGGCAGTAATGAATATCCAAAGCAAAACGCCAACTCATGATTTGGTTACCAAACCTATTCGAGCTTTCCCTATTCCGTTATTCTGGAAACATTCCCAATGGTCAAATCAAATACCAAAACTTTTATGCACCTTTGCTCCCTACTGTTCAATGAAAATGTCCGGTATGCACTCCTTCTTCTCCGCCTGCAGCCTTTCTTGTGTCTCCTCATCTCCCTGTCTCGCACTTGCCCAACTCAAACATTCCGCATAACGAACGGAAAAGAAAAGGAAAACATGACTGACTCATCCACTAAAGGCACTCACCCTAGACATCCACTAGTGCCATTATACGCATGACCACATATTATCGACCACCCCCTCTCTCAATGATTGTCTTGTTTGTTCTAGACGGCAGTACTGTTTTTTATCATACAGCTAGTTGGTTATGACTACGGTAGTAACACGGGAGAAACTGTATTGTCGGTTAGCTTCGTGTACAGGATTTTGGGGGGAAAGGTTTTTGGACTCTTGGTAGTGGGGCTTTAAGAAGAAGAGCGGGCTAGGGTAGGATGTGAAGAATATAGAAAGAAGGAGCGCAGGTGTTTGAATGATGGGGAGGGAAGGGCCAAACGGGGGCATGTAGTAGTGAAACGGGAGAAGTGTCCCGGACCGATACGGAGGGAAAGCAAATTGCAGAACAAAGAAGAAAAGGGCGAAGAGAGAAAAGGACCGTCAGACACCACTTACATTGATCATTATAATCATGGGTATATCAAACACATCCCGCTTGATGGTCCACGTATAGCTGCATTCTAGCTTACCATCTCGTTCCAGTTTCGAGATGCCGTGTTCTCCGTCGATCTTGGCGACCCTGTTGCTCAAGATACTATTGCTGGCAACATTCACGCCCGTCGGTCGTTCTTTCTCCGTCTTTCCAGCTGGGCTGCTATCTGGCCCTCCATTGACAACGGTGCCGTTACTGCTACCACTGCCGCCTGAAGCTGTGGGGGCAGAAGCAGCAGCAGCCGCGGCGGCGGCGGCGTCCATGTTCTCTTGGGTGCGGTACTTGAGAAGTCGGCATTTTCTCACCACTGTACCTCGGCTGTGTGTAAACGCTAGCTGGGCGTAATCCTCGTAAAACTGCGTCACGCTCGCTTCGTCCATGAGCTCCGCAAGGAATACCGGTTGTGGTTGTTCCTTGTGTTGCTGCGATTGCTGTTGCTGACTGTCGGCGTTCGTGCCCTGTTCTGGATGCAAAGGTTTTAGCCTGGGTGTTGTTCCCACAATGCCTCCTCTGCCTCCTTTGCTGCTGATGGAAAGGGTATCCGAGTTAGTGCCACCCATATTCGCATTGAGGTTCAGCGTCTTCCCAAGAAGCACATCCTTTGTCCACCCTGTTAGCGCCGTGAACTCCTTGTTAACGGCGGCTATTTCGCCGGTTCGACGGCAAGCGATGGCTGGGCTTGGCGATTGGTGCATGAACTCCTCATGCTCGAAAAGGGCACGCTGGAAGCTTTTCTCCATGAAGATGAGGTCGGCCCTGTTGAGCGTTTTCATACATGACATGAAAGATGGGCGAATGCTGGCTAATGACCTTACGATGCTGATCGTGCTCGCGCCCGAAAATCGGTTCTGAAGTAGACTGATGAGCTTGTGGAAACTAGCCACATATTGGAATGGTTCCTTGACTGCCTCGTAGATAGATGATGGATCTCGCTGCCTCTTACCCAGAACTGACTGTGGCCCGAGCTTCCCCAAGGCCGGCGTCTTTGGTTTCTGCGCCCGTGGCTGCTGGGAGCCCGGCTGATTCCCTGCAGCACCTGGAACCCCCGTGTAGTTGGTGGTGGTGGGAGACTCAAAACCAAATCCTGTCGGTTGCGGACTGTTGTTCTCGGTACTAGGGCTTTGTAGACTAGTGGGACCAGCAGGGATAGCATAGGCATGCGGTAGACCATGTTGCAGGTTTCCTTGGGAGTACAAGCCATTGGAATGGGCATCCAGAGTCAGGAAGTCGCTTATCAAACCGGTGTTATTGTCATAAACCTTTTCAAACTGGTTCAGACTGTTTCCAAAGACTCCAGAGGGGTTAAATCCAACATCACTAGTGCCCTGCTGTGCTATGGACGGATCCCGCGGAGGAGTCTCAGCAGCACCCGAGGACATGTGGCCCAGCATACCAAACTCCATGGCGCCATACTGACTTCCGAAGTTGAGTCCCTCCAAATTGAAGTTGAAAATGGCAGGATTACTCGGATCAAATAGCGCTGGAGGGAAGCTATTCATAGGGCTGGAAACTGAATTGACCGCAATAGAACCGAGCTGAGGGTTGCCAGAGGCCTGGAAAGTTGGCGATACGGGAGATTGCTGGGGGAAGGGTAAGTTCTCCGGTATTGATCCTAATTGTGTTGCTGCAGACGAGAAGACTGGATACTGGGTCGACTGCGAGTAGAAGGTACCAACAGACGAGCCGGCATCTGACCCAGCGTTGGAAGGATGCCGATGGCCATTCCGGACAGATACAGCGGCAGCAGGATTGTAGTTGGGTCCAAGTACGGGGCGTAAGGCTTCCGGGGGAGCATCGTGGAGATACTTTGCCTTCTTTCGGACACCGTCCTGGCAAGCTTCAGCTAATCCACGTTTGATGCACCGTTGGCATGGTCGTTCGTCACCTAAACCAAGATCAACATTAGCATAATCGTTTGTTTTTTCGTGACATGCGAAAGGGGACGGAATGTCGAGGTGATGGTAGTCTCCTTCCGTGTCGTATTCGTTTTATGGCAAGGAAGGCTAACTTGGGGAAACAGTGGACTGAAGTGAGCAAAAGTAAAAACTTACCGCAGGTCAAATGGGCTCTCTGACACGCATAGCAGGCTCTCCGGGCTTTTTTCCTCCTGGGCCGCAAAGGATCCTTGGGGTCATACTTCTTCTTCTGGTCACCGTTGGTTTCGACACCTTCGGAAGCAACGGATCGTTCGGCCATCTTTTCGTCGTCGTCGTCCTTGGTAGTGACCTCGGTTTCGTCGTACTCGTTGTCGCTCTCAGACACAGCACCCGAGACCTCTGCCTCGGCGGGTCCAACGTCGTCCGGCATCGTGCCTTAGCTCTATATATACAGACAGGGTCTTGGAGTCAAGACAGAGATTGGTGGCAGGGTAGTGCAGAATGTGATAGGAGACACCCAAAGCAGCCAACTAGATTGCGAGACGAGACAGGGCAGGCAGAGAGGCAGGCAATCTGGCAGGCAAGGACGCGGGAGCTCTGAAGCAGGTAGGGACCAGGCTAGCAGAGACGTATCAGGTCCGATATGGGGGTCAGAGGGTGGAAACAAGCTTCAAAAACCCAAAGTCCTCCTGCAGCAATCCCACGATGGTGGCACCTTTTCTGAAGAGGTTGATTGGCGCAGTCTGGGGCGCTTGGTCTACCAGGATGGAGCGCCTGACGAGCTGATGATTTGGCGGGAGGTGATGTACGTGTGGCAAAATCAATGGCGCCTCAATCAAAGCAGGGTAGTAGTGAAGATGGTGATGAGCGGCAGTGGTGGGCGGCGGCGAGGCGGGGGATAATGGAGCACAATGCGTGCGAGACCAGATATGGCATCCAAGGCTCTTGTCTCTTTGATACTGTGCCGGGACTGTGGGCTTCCGCAATATAGTCTGGGACGTGTTGACGATGGACTCGCCGACAAATGACTGCCCTCCAGCTGACGAGGCCTGATACACAATGACCAGCACGTCGTCTCGTATTCTCACTGGACTTGCTGTCCGCTCCAGCAGAACGGCCAATGGGCTCTGAGCCGGCTCTAGAGAGGCGTTTCTCTGTGCAACAGGCTAGGCGAGTTGGCCAGGTACCTCGTCGACTATACACGGTGGAGTGTCTCGCAGGACTGTCTCCTTCTTCCTCCCCACACTAATCCCCTCTCGTCCTCCTGGTGGCAGTCACACGGCAGCGGATAAAGCACCCTTCTTTCTGACGGGGCGGTTGTGATTCCCTTGGAGGTTGAGGAGCCGAAGTTGCTATGGCGATGGTGAGACAAGGGTAGTCAACTGTAACCCGCTGCAGCTACCCGTTCTTTTATGCTTGTATGCACTTGGCGCCGTCTAACAGCAGCCCTCTCGATGACGGTTCGAGAGAGAACTTGAAGATGCGTGTAAGTGGTAGCCAGACCAAGGGGAAATGGGCCTCGACGTGAATCGGGGCTGACCTAGAACTGCGTCCAGGGCCCTCCAGACTCCAACGTGGTGGCGTATAAGCGCCTGTACGTGGGTGTGAAGTACTTGGGTTGGTATATGCGTTATGTCGGTAGTTTCCAGGGCAAGATGTATGGTGTCGGCTCCGAAGCTCCTGATTGTCCGTCTCTTGTCGGTTCCCCTTGAGGATTCGCACTTTGCAAACCAAAACCAACCTAGCCCCAGCAATTACAGTGTCGACACCGGTATGGTGTTGTAGCGCGTCTGATTTCTCAATATCCGCCCTGGTAACAAACTATTGCGCGTGGCACTCCCGTGTCCACTTTGTGGTTGACCGTGAGCGGACCGTTAACGGCTTGGATTGCAGCACGAGAAGTCTAGCGCCAAGGTGAGAGAAGCAGTGCGCTGAACTAGGGATTGGTGGTGTGGTATGGGCGGGCGACGAGTGGTGTTGTAGATGGTGACGGAAACGACAACGGCTCCGGCGACGAGTGCGGTGTCGAGGATGGTTCGGTGTGGCAGGGTGTCCCTGATGTCTCTGATGGCTGTCCTTGATGTCTCTGGCGCCAATGACAGGAAAAGTGGCGGCTAGTCTCAGTTGTCGTAGTCGAAGAAGTAATATGCGTCGGCAAAGATACTAGAGGTAGTAGAGATAGCGGTAGTGGTGGTAATGGTGGTATTGTGCTGGTGCCATTCCCGAGTCTATGTTTTGACATGGCACTGGGGGGTGTGGTCTGTGGCGTTGCGGTTGTCTGGGAAGTGAGGTCGAAGGATATTCGATTGGAGATCCAATGAGGTTCGCCGAGTTTTTGCAGTGCTTCAAGGATTGTCGGACGACCGACGACGATGACTCCATGCGACTGCGATTGCGACGAGACGGACAGGGGGGGGTCACAACCAGCGCGCGCAGGCCACTGCAGCCTTGAAGGAGGGGCGCGGGCAGTCGGGCAACTTGAACCAGGAACGAAAGTCAACTACTGTACTGAATGTACAACTGCATCAGTGCAGTGCAGTTGCTGCTGCGGGGTTTTTGCTAGGTGGGCGGGCAAGAAGCAACGAAAACCGAGGCCCTTTGTTGTGCCGCCAACGAGTGAGGGCGGAGCAAGGGGAAGGAAGGGGCGATCAACTTACTCGCAGTCTCTGTCTCGCACTGCAAAATCTTGAATGGGCGGGCAGGAACCTCAGCGCGGGCAACGGGAGATGTCAGGAAGTCACTCGGTGTCAAAGAAAAGAGAACAGAACAGACTGAAGTTGCTCGCGTGCAAGTGTCGGTGGGCTCGGTACATCCAAACGGCTGGGCTTGTCGCCCGTACTTGGCCAGACAAGAAAATGTCACCCTTCATCCGTGTACTCGGTACTCGAAACAATACCCGACCCGAGTCATTCACACCCTCCGCACCATTTGCATGTGGATGTCCAGTCGCTGCAGCCAACCTATTCAACCTACTGCATAGTACAGTAGTGTAGGGACGGGTGGTCCGTGCGTTTACAAATCCATCAAAGCCGTCTGGTCGTCACTGAGTGCAGAGAGCCGGGACTCTGCATCTCCAGGCTCCACAGTAAACAGTCTGCTGGTCCCATGCTGCCTGCGTGCATTGGGCTGATTGAAGATGACTGCCCAGGTACCGTCACTTTTCGGCGGGGATTTGATATCCAATCCCACCTAGATCTCTCACTCACAACATTGGAAAGACCAAATCTCAGACAGCATCCGTGGACTGTGAACTGTGGTAGAGGTGATGTAAGGTAGGTACCTACTTGCCCTTTTCTCGGTTTCTGTTGGTACCTGTACAGTAAAAACCCCTGCTTTTGCAAAGGATTTTGACTGCCCGCGATCCCTCCAGTAGCTGACATTGTGTTACTCACTCTTACAAAACCCCCCTTGTGCAGAGATTTTGGGCTGCCGGAATTATTTGCAAAAGCACGAGTTTTGATGTACATATTTTCAGTTGAGTCCACTTGGATCCACTGGCATAGCGGTACGTATGTAATATTAATAATAATGGAAATAATGACGCTGCCAACGTTACAATGGCTATGCACCAAAGGAAGGAAGCGCGCGGGCCGCAAAGTGGAATCTCTGTTCCTGTTCCCCTCCTTCCCGTCTCCCGAATCCCGACTTCCGTCTGTCAGTCGCTGGCCCATCCCGTCCACCGCTTATTAAAGTTCGTTCCATTCCTTCCAGTTCACTTGGCCAAAGGTTCCCGCTATCTTATCAGAGGAGTACAAGGAACACAACTAAGGGAAACGAGCCTACTGTGTACGTAGTGTACATACTATGGAACTGGTGAATCCAAACATGCAAACAATAGAGGCAAGTATACATTACAGCGCGACGGTAAACGGCGCATTGCCCCAATCTGGTCACCTTCAACCTGGCTTCCAGCTCGACACTTGCCTTGGAATTGTTTGAGGTCAATTTCTTTTTCTTTTTTTTTCTTTTCCAAATTTCTCCTTGCCGCTATCGTTACCGCAATCTCGACAACGGCCACGATGCCCAGCGGTTGGCGGCGCATCTTGGTAGTGACAGGACGGAATGGAAGGGCGGGATGCATCCATGGGCCCGTCTTGTGGGCAGATGGTTCAGTTGAGCCAGGAACGGCCAGGGCCCCAGACGGCGGCGATTGACGAACCACGATTGTCCATGACCATGTGGCGCCCCGAGATCAGCTGGCATGATCCGCCTTGATCGGCTCCAGGATTTCATGAGAACTCACTCGATGCATCGTCAGGAACACTCGCTCAGGCCTTGGCATCCACTCACGTCAGTCTAGACAAAGTCATTGAGGCTGAACGTCCATTCAACAACCCCCTGCCAACATTGGCTGCTCGATACGACACAGTACAGTACGCAGGCCACGCCCGCATGCCTATACGGTCCAGTCTATACGACCTGAAAACCAAACGTGTGTTTTCACCACCAAACCTCGGACACTCACACCCAGTACCTGTATACGGAACGTCTGCACCAAACAATCGCCATCATTCCCTTCAGTTGCCTCAGACCTTGTTTACCTCACCGACTTCATCTCGCCTTGCCCAGCATGAACCGGGAGCTATCTCCATGGACGAACCCTAGCACTTTGTCGAACCTGAGACGCACCATTCAGCAGTATTCCAGCGGTTCGCGCGGATTGCGTCAACCCGTTCAACCAGACTAGTCCTTGTCCGGTGGGCTTTGCGGTGTCCGAGACAATATCTTCATGTTTATCCGCAATCAGCCTAGCCGTGGCGCCTGTTGTGCAGTCCAAAAATTGCTGATCGGTGTGGAAGGTTGGTTAGAACTGAGGTCCACCGTGCCTCCGTTCGTCTTCCTACATGCTCGGGTAACCCGCCTTGGTGTTGCGTCTGGTCTTGTTGATGCCGCTATAGCAACACCATCCAAGTATCTACCTGCCTCTCGTGCACACCCAACACTTGCCCCTGGTCTAGCAGGCATTCTGTCGTCTTCCGTACACGCACCACACGAGTCTGGGACGACAGGGCTGTAGTCACCATGACTGGTTGACCGCTGCTTGCTCACCCCTTGGGCTTTTGTGCAATGGAAACCCTCGATGAGACGAACTAAAACCGCCATGTAACACTATTTACACTTCATCTTGCTCATGGCGGACTCTTACTTGCATTGTCTAGGCAGTGGCAACCTCCAGTTCCACAACACTGCCGCTAGTTCCCACAATCGAGCGTGACGACAGCCGCCTAGACAGGCCATCACCGCAGTCGCCACTACAAGGTGAACGAGGCCAACGGCAGGAGAGCAAAGGAAGTGTGTAGCAAAGACACAAGCTTAGGGTGCAGTTCGCTATACCAAGCACGTCGATCTGTTGGTGAGGGTCATGTGAAAAAAAAAAAAAAAAAAAAAAAAAAAAAAAAACAATTGCCTATAGTACCACTACACACGGGTTTCCGGACAAAAGGTCACATCCGGATCAACCCAATCCCTTGTCATCCACTCCATTCAACTTTCACTCGAGATGGGACATTGTCGTTGCCGTAATAGTGGGCGGTCACGTTGTTGAAGGGTGCATCAGCGGACGAAAGCGCCCGGCATTCTTATTACCCAAAGCAGCCTCCTGCAGATCGTACATGACACAACTTCAAGCCCTCCCTTTCGGCAATCGCCGTCTACGACATGCCCTTCAATATCTTCAACTGACTCTGTAGACATGCGGGCCGTAATGGGTACCTACATGGCCCCCTTCTCACCGTCCAAGGCAGACCGATGTTGGGCATCAATGCAACCTCAGATCTTCGGCCTCGGTCCCGGTCTCCTTGACCATGGCCATGTTGAAGCCGCCGTACACACCTTGGTCATGCTCTTGCGAGTCTGTTGTCAGAATCTGCCAAATGGCTACAATAATCCTATTACACAGGCACCTCCCGATCTTCCATTCTATACCATACCTCAAAAAGACACGTAACAGTAGGTCATGGCTGGCGAGACTGGAACAGTTGACCCCATGCTTACAACAAAAACAAGTTAGGAAGACGATCATTGCACATTCATGGATATCAGATCATGATGCCACCCCCTTTTCTCCAAGGTGGAAAGGTGATCTTCGCCTCTTTGCCATTCTATCATGATCTAGTTGAGTCATTCACAGCACTTCAAAGGGTCGCGGGCACGCAGCATGCAATTTTCCAGGCAACAGCCCTGAATCATCATCGTTTTTTGCTTTTCTATCGTCTTTACCATTCCGTCTTGGCATCATTTCACCGTCCATCTCATTACCATTCCTATTATATACCAATGTCTCAGACGACATGCAGATTATGCTTGTAATATGCTTTGCTGCGTCGTTGTGGTGCTCTATGTGCCTCCCATTCACTGCCTTGGACAGCGACACATGGCACTCCTTGCTTATTTCCTCCTGGTTGTTGCAGTTATAACTTGTCTTAGTGCGGGAGGGACGGAAGGTCCCATATGCCGGTCGAAGGTGTCTCTGAAGAAAGAAGAAACATTTTCGGTGGGTGTTTATCCAGCCACTCGCAACTCTCAACCCTATGCGTTTTGCTCCCCGCTCATCTTACGAGCGGGTCGCAAATTTGCTTCTGGCCCGTATTCTCTTGCCAAACACGAAGAAGAGGTACGGGAAAGGCATCATCGCCAGGGTAAGGAAGGCGAGGAGGGCCGTGGCCCACTGGAAGCCCAGCTTCTCGTACATTTGAATCCCAAACAATGGGAAGGCAGCTGTATCCGGGTGTCAAAAAGTCAGCACAAAACCCCATGTCGAGAAACAAAGCACAAGACACAAGGGATCGCAGCGGATTGAACCCGGAAGATCCAGCTAGAAGGAAGAGCGGCAGATGCATGTCCTGGACGCTGCTGGGCCGGTATCACCAAGACACACACCGACACCCCCAACGCCGCATAAACGACACATACACCGGGGTCCATCTTCACTCGAGACTTACCTGCAAACGAACATCGCACAAGAGCATTCGTGGCTAAGGCACTCGCTGCGTATTGCGGGTATGCGTCAACCTGTATACGAAACGCCTTCTTGTCAGCACTGCCAACTTTGTCCAATCTTCGCTTTCGCTTTCTGCCCAATCAGATGCCTCTAATGACTCTCCATATCTCTGCGTGTATGGTGTGCGAACACGGCAGGATAGTTGTCGTTTTGTACTCCCCACCCCTTCTTTTTATTTCCCTTCTCTTAACTGATACTCACACAACCTTTTTCCACCTTGGCCATTCAAGTGAGCAAGGAGAGGCCAGGCATGAGGTCACGGGAGAAGAAAGTCAAAATGAGAGGCAAAATGACAACCCCATTCAGCAGTGATCACAACATCATGTTTTGACATGACTCGACATGATGGATGAGGCTGACACTGTTCCCCATTTTGATATTCCCCCCCACACACACAAGATGCATTTCTTGGGTTCGGGCCTGTTTTTTGGATTGGAATAGGGAGCGTAATCCACTTACCAAGAACGTGAAGATGCCGGTGAAGGCGAAGGACATGCTATATGCAAGACAAGTCAGTTATCGGTTAACGACATCATGGGACTTTGCAGACGCGAGATAAACAACCGGGGACGGGAGGGAAGACGAAAGGAACCAAGTGGGAAATGGAGAAAAGAGAGAAGGGCGCAAGCCTTGAACCAGGCCCTGGAAGAGACGAGGGTAAGGAGGTGGCCATCCCCATTTTCAGCATCAACTTTGACCAAGCCATGACTGAGACTTTGGGCTTGGAAGAAAGACGAAGAGGCAAAAACAGAGAGACGAGGAGGGGGGGAAGAGCCAGAACATAGAACGGCAGAGTCAGAGAAGTTCTCCGTCCGTTTCTGCGGCAATCGGTTTGGTAGCAGGGCTACTACGCCATCCACGTACTCCCTAACCACTTCTACCCCAGACCATAACCAGGCTTAGTCAATGAACATTGGGAAAGAAGCCTGAGGGTGGGTGTCAGTTGACGCACCATCCTACATGCCATGTCTCTTGAACTCGCCCCCCACACCCTTCCACGTCTTCCCCCCTCTCCACTGTTTCTCTCTCAAACACGCAAGCAAGCGGAATATGGGTTTCCCCAAGAAGAAGGAATGAAGCTACCTCCTTCTTACTGTACCTTAACCCTCTTGATCTCAAAGCTTACTCAAGTGGGGAGGTAGATGACGGGGTAAACCAAGCCAAGCACAGCAGAAAGGGAAACACAAGCAAGTATGTACTTACCCCAGACCAAAGATCGACGACCCAATGATTGGCACGATCCAATGCACCCACGGATACGTACTAAACCCGAACATAAACAGACCGCCCGTAATGAGCGGGGCACCCACAATCACGGGCGGCAGCTGGTCCTCAGGCTCGCCCTTCATGATTCCCGTCTTCTTGAATAGCTTCTCGGCCAGGCCATTTCTCACGCGCGTCCAGACGGGAGTGATGCAGCCGGCCAGGACCATGGACACGCCGAGGCCCATGAAGGTAAGTCCGACCTGCCAGAGATTGAAGCCGTGGTTGGTGCGGAAGACGAGGGGGAAGGCACCGAAAAAGAGATACAAAACGCCCAGGAGAACCGCGGAGTAGACATCCAGGATGAGACACATGGGCTCACGCAGGAGCAGCTGAAACGGTCGCAGGAGGGAGTTGCCAAGGGTGGAGGCGACGGACTTGGTGGTGCGCTCGATGGGGGCGTGGTAGCGGTTGTCGCCGGTGGTTTTCCGGAGGTTGACGGCCTTGCGCTTTAGGAGGACGGGGTCTGTGTAGAGAAAAAGGATATGGTGAGTAAGAATCTAAGTCAGGGGGTTTGTTTACTTTTTCCTTCTTTCAGTCTCCTTGTCTTGGCTACTTTTCAGGGCCTGGTGTTCCTTTTCGGCTTCTTCGTCATGCGGACCTGTTTTTTTTTTCTCACATTCCAACCGCAAAGCCAACAACGCGCCTCAGAAACGATTGTTCGAGCCCTGGAAGTTTTGACAATTACTTCATTTGAAGGAAATGGAAAAAACGTACGATATGTTTCCGGCACCAGCACCATCACACACACCAGCAATACTCCGGCCCAAATGATCAAGAAATAATACGTCCACCTCCAGGTCGTGAAGGTGTTAATCAATCCTCCCACCAACGGCCCCGTCGCCGGTCCAATAAATGGCGACAACGCAAAGATGGCCATGGGCAACTGGAACTGCTCCCTACTGAACAGGTCGCCCACGGTGCCACCGGACACGCTGAGAAACGCACTGCCCGCCAGACCCTGGAAGAACCTCGCAATGATCATAGTCTGGATATTCTTGGCCACCGCACTAGGGATCAGCCAGATCAGAAACCCGGCAAACGAGCAAATGTAGATGGGTCTCCGTCCGTAGAACTCAGCCAACGGCGACCAGAACGGTCCCATCGCAATCCCCAGCACGAAGAACGAGAGGCCCAGTGTCGCTACTATGCGAGAGCAGTGGAACTCGGCGTTCATCTGCGTGTACGTAGCCGTGTAGATGGCCGAGGCGTGCGTCACGGCGAAGGAGCCGGTGCTCAACACCGCGATGATGATCCACTTCCGCCAGGTCGGCATGCTTCGCGGGTTCAGAGGGTCCGAGTCGCCTCCTTCCCAGCCGACCTCGAAGCGCTTCTCTTCTTCGTCCTTGATGGTCTCGCCGGCGCCTGAGCGGGCTGCTGCTGCTTCCGCGTCGGCTCCTTCCTCCTCTTTTTCGGCTTCGTCTTCTAGGTCGTCTACACCAAAGCCGTTGTTGGAGCGCGAGCGAGAAATGTGGCTGAAGGTGGTGTTATGACTTTGTCGGCTCATGGGTCGGGGTTGGTGAGGGGGCTGCGTTTGGTGGGTTGAGATGGGCGCGAAACCAATGTCGTCTTCTGTCTGGGATGATGATGATGCCGAGTCGGAATCATTCTCCTTCTCGTTCTGTCCGGTCGCCGAGTGGGCAACCTGAGGCGTGGTTGAACCGCTGGTTCCATGGCTACCGCTGAAATGACCCTTTTCGATATCTACATCATGTGTCGGTGAGTTGATCTGAGTTGCATCTGAGTTAAGGTGAGTGGCGTGGTAGTTTTCCACCTTTTCCAGTTCGTTCATCGTGTGCTTCTAGCTGGCGTTGGCCAGCCTGTCGACGTGGAATATGTAGCTTGAAGATGTCAAGCAGTAGGATGGGCCGTGGATGGTCGAATAGGTCGATCTTGGCCGGTTGTTGCGGTGCTTCTCAAGTTCTGATTTTGGCTGATTTCTTTTTGCAAATTATATCAAAAGTTGAGTCGTCTTTATAGGGTAGCTCTTCGAAGATCCTAGGGGTTTCTATCTGGAATAAGATGATACAAGACGCTGTCGGGCCCACAGGTTCTATTCCTCGTTGATGTAGTTGGTAAAGGATTGAAGATTTCGGGTTTTTTTTTTTTTTTTTTTTACATATCGCTGGAAATATTTTGCGAGATGGCAGTTGGTTGCGGGCCCGAGGTTGCTGAAGGATGGGAAACGTAGGTAGGCATAGGTAGGAACGAAACTGAATGAAGAAAAATCATAAACAAGAAAAGAACAAGGAAACAGCACGTAACTACCGCTTTTTCTTTGCAGAAAGAAGAGGGGGACGGAGTCGGGGATGGCTACCTCGGGTTTAAGCTTTTGGACTCGATTAAGGAAATAGTAGTATCAGTGCAATTCCTCTCTACTGTGTACACTAGGTCTTTCCCTTTTTCATCGTTCGCAACATCCCAAACGGGAATGGCACAAAACGTGGAAGGTGGTGTGCCTGACTAACCATGACACTGACCCCATTTTTTCGGCGGAGGATGGACGGTTGATTGATAATGCTCCTGTCAAGTTTCCATCCTTTTGGCCTTTGTCGGTGTTTCCTAGCTGGGTTCCCTACACCGCGCTTTTTTACTCATTTAGTACGTACCAATTACCAATCCGCACAAATAAATCATTCTGGGGAACAATGCTACCAGGAGTGCGTTTTCCAGAGGATAGGTTCGGTTCAGGTCATAGTTGTTTGGTTAGCTCATGTTTTGAATCAAGTATAGTAACCAAGGGTAGCCAGTCTGCCGGTCGAGAGAAATAACAAAGAAAATCGAGGAGGACGAAGTCCGAGAATGAGGACGGGAGAGGAGGAAGAAAGGGCCCAACCACTGCACTAACGGGCGACTAACGGGTGGGCCGGATACCAGATACCAACCATGACTGATGTGATCGATCAACTGAAGGGTTCTTGCAAGAGATCAGCGGTAGGGACTTTCCAGAACAGACCATGGAATTGCAGAAGGCGAGGAGAAGAAAGCAATATCCGTAATCGGCTATTTTATGACATCCTAAATCGTTGATTCTAAAAGCAAACACGCAATTCACTAATACATTGTGTGATGCCTCATGGTACCGGTTGATGGATAACTGGATCGAGAGGATATATAGACAGATAGGAGAAGAAGACGGTCGGTTTCGCCGCCACCTCATTCCATCCCAAAGAGAAAAAAGAGTCGATGGATTGTTGGTATTATATGTAAGAGCGGTGCGCGAATAGGAAATATCAAACGTTGGTGTCTGCTGTCTGAGTCGGCGAAGGGGTGCCAGTGTCATGTGCCTCGACTCTAGCTCAGTCGCCTGCGGCTCTCACTAACGGTCTGTAGTACTTGGCTGCCGAAGAAGCCTGGTGCTTTGTGGTGCGTTGTGCATGTTCGCGCGGGGAATCTTATCGCCGGCGGTAACCCCGAGGTAGGTAGGAGAGTGACTGCCGGAGAGGAGGGGCCGAGGGGGCGAGAGTGGAGGGGGAGGTAGCGTTCAGCGATTGGAGGAGGATTGGAGATCGAAAAGGGACGGGACGAAACGCTCAATCAATGAACTCTGCAAATTTTCGATGGTTTGTGTCAATAGGAAGGCGTGGAAGTTGAATGGATATTAGTGTAAGCTGCCCGGAATGACGTGATGATATTGTGCTGCCTCTCCAACACCGGGGCTCGTTATCCAGATCCGAAAATTTCGCCTAATCGGGAATTCTTCTTGGGCTACACTAGTCGATCGTTTATCGCTTGACATCGATGTCTCTCTAGCCTTTTCACTCTGCAACCCAGAATGCGGCAATGCACCCGTAAACCTTCTTTTTGGGGCCAGCTGAGTTGGGGAAAATGATGTTCAACATTGTGTGAGTATGTCAAGACTTTTTGTCCTGTGATTTCTTGACAAAAACAGGGCAAAGACTTACTATGTAGACGTTTGTCAAAAATGGAAATGTTTGAGGTACAACAGAAGCCTGCTTTCTTGCCACTTGATTACCACCTCGATGCTCGACACTGCAGTGCAGTATTGTGCAAAAAGCTGAGATACCATGTGGGTATACGTGTGTGAATATCTAATTGCACGTCAAGAGCAAAGGAAATTCCCCTTTGTTCGAGATTCAGAAGCAGACAGTTCCAAATTCTCATCAATCCGGTGTCGCGGAGAACGGCAACAAGCCAGGGTCATCCACCAACTGTCTTCTACACTTAGCACTACAGAAGTTGCAGTCAACTGACGTCGATAGTTCCGTCCCCGGCCGTTTCAACTACCTATTCTAAACTGCCTGGTTGCACATCGATTTTACGTTTTGCCAAATTTGCCTGTCTGAATGACAACCTGCAGCAAATACACGTACAGTTCTCTGAAGCCCTTAACCCTCGATCGAATTATTGGTACGGCACCTTTTCTACTTTGGCTTGCGCAAAGCAGATTATTCGAAGATATGACGAGACGTCTGAGTTTGCGATTGCAATTCCACCCCGATGCGTTCTGTCACTTCACGGACAGTATCTTCAATTTCGAAGGGATGGAATGTCCCTCGGCCATCCGCATACTTGTTTTTCACCAAGATATATCCAGAGCACAAGTTGATCGAAACTAAAAAAAGACGGTGGAAGTCGCAGACGGTGGGAGAAAGAAAAGAAACCCCCCCCCCCCCCCCAAGAAAAAAGAAAGAAAAGAAAAAAAGACATACAACACCTGGGATTCGCTGGTCGTCACCGACCCAACTACTAGTCAGGCGATTGGTAGTTTATCTATGGGAGAGCGGACGGGATCCCGAGTTTTCTACCATCGATGGTCGTATGTGGTGGTATTATGTTGGAGTGAGCATTATGAAGCGCAAAGGAAATGCCATTAGTAGAGAGTTTTGAATCTGAAAATGTTCGCCATCCACGGAGACCCCTATCCACGAGAGGGTTTCATCATACGAGTAGCTACAGCCATGCCATGTAAGCACATATCTTCAATTTCATTGTAATTAAACTTGCTCGCCTGCTCAAATCCATCAGTCATAAGTAAGGCAGTCCTTTCATGTAAAAGGGTCAAGCATAGTTTGGTTACCTTGACAATCCCCTCCATATCTCGTTGGTCAGTCCCCATACCCGCGCCAGCGCCTCATGGCAACCCCGAAACCTTCCAGACCTTAACCGCCCCATCCACACCCGTGCTAACCACCGTACCTTCCTCCGTCCACGCCACCCCGTTCACGCCGTCCTTGTGCGCGTTCGGCGCGCTCGTCCTGCTCCCTGGCTTCGCCAAGCTCCAAACACAAACATTCGTGTCTAGCCCGCCGCTGACGGCATGCGTGCCGGCCTCGTTCCACGCGATGCTTAGCACGCGCGCCGTGTGGGCCGACCATCGGTCGGTTTCCACTTCCCACGAGCCAGAGCCGCTGGTGCGGTAAACGACGATCTTGCCCGTTGAGTTGCCGGCCGCCAGGAACTTGCCGTCGCGAGAGAATGACAGGGTGGAGATTTGGGCGGAGGAGTTGGTAAGGACGGCGACGGGCTGGGAGGAGAGAGTCCCGTCAGAGCTGGAGAGCGAGTGGATGCGGACTGTGTTGCCGTCACCGCCTACGGCAATCACGGAGGCGTCCGTGGGGGAGGCGGCGATGGCAGTGGGGGTGAAGGTGGTCGGGAGCTCGGAGATGAGGTCGGGGCCCTGGTAGACTTGGATGCCGGTGTGGGCGGCCACGGCGACGAACTTGCCGTCGCTGGTGGTGGCGACGCCCTTGGGCTGGGCGGAAAGCTTGGTGGATAAGCCGGTGAAGGTGTTCGCAGACACGTCGACGGAGCGCAGAGTGTCGTCCCAGCCGACGCTGTAGACGGTGCCGCCCGAGGGGGGGAGGGCGAACTGGGTCACTTGGTTGGAGTGCGACTGGCCGTCGACAACGGTTCCGGTGCCCGCGGCGAGGTCCCAGCTCAGGACGCGGCCCTCAAAGCTACCCGTCAGAAGAGCCTTACCGTCGGGACTGGCGCCGAGGGCGGTGATGTTCTTGTTGTGGCCTTGAACAACGCGGATCGGTTTGGGATTGCCCGGAACCAGGTAGTTGAGGTCCCCATTGAGATTGAGGCTGATAATGAGCCCGTCGGTACGGCCATGCGGCCAGACTACGCCAACTTGCTGGTCCGGGATGCTGACGCTGCCCTCGGGCCCGAACCGCCAGGTTTCGGTGTTCTTGCCCGACTCGGCATCCCATACGCGAACAGTTTGGTCGGCGCTGGAGGTGACGAAATGCTTCGAGTCAGAAGCCCAGCTGATGCCATAGATACCACCCGTGTGGACACCCTCGCCGATCGTCTTGGTTGGTGCGCCCGTCTTTCCATCGTACAGCTGGATCTTCCTGTCGGCACCGACTGTGACCAATGTTGCACCGTCTGGGCTGAACGCCGTGCCGGTAACGAATCCCTTGTGCTCCGACGCCTTATCGGCGAACTTGAAGGGTGCGCCGTGGAGGAAACACATGGATCCATCGTCCGACACCGTAGCCGCACGCAATGGCCGCTGCTGCCTTATGCTGACGGCATTGACAACCTTGCTGTGGCCCGTAACCTCACCAACACTGTTGCCGCTGTCAGCGGTGAAAGCATGGCCAAATCGCTCGCGGCCATCACCAACGGCAATCACACGCTGTGAGTCGCCGTCCCAGGCAATATCGTTAATGCGGCCGGAAATGATAGAGTATTCGCCCTTGGTGTTCTCGGCACCGACAGCGTCCCAGACGCGCACCTTGCCCGAGACATCACCAGAAGCAACCCAGAAGCCTGATGGCGAGAAGCGGGCAACGGTAGTAGTGGTTGTATGGCCAGTATACTGGAGGGACTTGGATGGCTCGTCGATGGTGCGAACGAAGATGGATTTGCCGGACTGCGGGGTTCCAAGGATGTGTCTTGGTAAGCTCGAGTGTACTTTGGCTGGCGATGGTATTGCTGGCGGTGAAGAAGACTTACAGCGTAGACTATGCGCTCGCCCTTGGGATCGCAAGAGAGCTGGGTGGCCTGACCCCGGGCTGTGGCGGGCGCAGCGGCCAAGATCTTGTCGATTTCGATGGGCATATCGTTCTCCTTGACTCTTTTGTCTGTTGTTTCGTAGATAGCTTGGGGACGCGAGAGTAAGTGATCGGCGAGTTGGTGTTTGTTTATTATACGCAGTAGGGGGCTAAGGTATCAACCCAGCTGGGGGGAGCTCGTAACAAGGGGGAGCTGTTCCAAGGTGTCAGATCGGTGTCAGCTAGATGGAGCCCATTGGAGCCTGGACGATGATGCAGTGGGACGCGCGGCGGAGAACCTCCACCTACCTACAGAAGTACATGGACAGTGGGGTTGGCGTTGCGGGGTAGCGCTGCCGCCAAAGCAGCAGTACACTGCAGCGAGCAAGCAGGAACAGAATGGACAGTCGGGTGCCTGGCGTTCCCGTCGGTTTGGATAGATCATGTCTCTGGCTGGAAGATGACGACTAAAATCATACTCAGTCCCATCCTTATACATGATGTTCAGATATAATCATAAGCTGACTAAATACACTGTTTTACACGCCATGTCCGTGTAGTCAATTTACATACCTGCGTTTAAGTGCAGGCTCGATCTTGGCTTCGCCAAATAAGGTTGTATCGCGCCAAGGCTAACACCCACGAGTAGAAAAAGGGGTGTTTGTTGACAAGCGTCGCCATAGAAACACGCTTTCTTCCAACAGTTGTCTACGTACCATGAAGGACCACAGGTTTGTCCGGTGTCTCGACAGCTCGTGGCATCGTCTCGTCAAGTGATTCTCCTTCATAATGTCGTTTCCTACTGTCGACCAAAGTTTGGGTCACCTTAAGATCTGAATACTTGCATTTTATATCCTAGACGCTGGATGGGTTCGCTAGGTAATGACTCGATGGCCTGAAGATGGCATCTTCCAACAGGGACAACGATGGAAAAAGTCTACGTAGTATACTAACATTTAGACAGGAGGGAAAAAGGCAAAAAGGTAATGAGATGTTGACACTGCGAGATTCAGTTTGCTATAAAGAAAATCCAAATCCCACGGAAAAAAAAAAACTAGGACTAACTACTCTTATGCTTTGCTGGATGGCCCTGGCAGCAATTGCAAAATGTTCAAAAAAAGAATGTTGTGACTCGGATACCGGGAGTCGAACCCGGGGCTGTTGAGAGAGCAGTCACTCCTAAGAAGTGAGAGTCAACGATGTTACCGCTACACCATACCCGATTTGGAATGGCTTCCGATTTTGATTGGAGGACAGATAAGATTCACATACTATAAAGGCCAAAATGTTAGTTCGAACGTCCATAATGTTTAAGCAATACTCCTTTCGGTCCTGGAAAACCATACACGCTGGCGCATAGGGTCGGAAGGTAATTCAAGCCCTGACGAGTATGAACCACCGTCTGTGTTGAGACTCACACACCGTTAGTGATTTATAACCCATGTCCAACATCTTCACATGAAATACCACTCTCGAGGGGCCGGAAGTGATGTTGGAGGAGACGCTCAGTTAAAACTATTTCCAGTAGGATCTCAAGGTGGATTTTTCACAATTCAGAATCCCTTTACTTCACGAATCGCAGAACTCCGTGCTTCCGGAGAAGGTGTTGCGTAAGGATATGGAAACTACAGTAAGCCATTGTCTTTCCAGATATGTAGTCAAGTTGCTTTGGCAACAGCTATCAGCCTTTCGATGCGCAGGCATGCAAAAGGACCGAACATCTGAGATTCTTTGAAAAAGAACCGCAATTCAACGGGGAACAGGCGAGCTTGATCCTGCCTGTCAATCTGCCGGAGGAGATATTTTGGAAGAAGAGAATAAGGGACAAACAGCTCAACCGCCCAAGTCAAAGTTCGAACTGACCAGCTGCCGGCTCTGAGAATTGTACCACCAGCACCGCGCACCGCGCACTGGTTTCCTAGCCCAACGACGGCTTGACCACGGAGAGGACCTACTTAAGCCCTCTGAATCCCAATCTTATGTACCCCGAGGGGAATTCGAACTGGCTGGTCATAACTGCCAGCCGCACTAGCTACAGTCAACCCCGTTGCGTTTTAGGATATGTTCGCTCTCTATCTAAGATAGCGCCGGCCATTTTTGCCAGAGGCATCCCGAAGTTGAAGATGATCAGGTACTGAATGGCATGAGATAGGCAACGAAGACAATGTCTGCCCTAATTGGTATCGTGGTTTCTGCTGCGCTCGCTGTTGCCACGAGACGCACCCACTTGGGAAGTTGGGACAGTAAGTTATATTGCCCCTATCAATATGCGAGTAATAGGAGACGAGTATTCGGTTAACCCCCCCGCGCCTGATGATGTCTTCGCAGGAGGTATATTCTGACGTTGGCCTCGATAAGCGTCCAGGCAACTTTGACCTGGGTTACAGCATTTCAACCAGGTGATCGGTGCTTAATGAAGATACAATTGGCTTAACCGACTTCTACGTCTGGTCCTTAGTCAAGAGCTTGATAAATATTGTACCTTATGGAGCCAAGGTAGTGATGGGTATCGAGGGCTTCAATGTGGGTTCGAAGATGCCGAGAATGACAATTGAGTTTCGATCCTCTGTATGTTATTGCGATGGTCTTCGGAGTGTCATATCTTGCTAAAATGGTGATCGAAGGATCAGAGACAACAATGGAGGGACGATACATCAATGTGTCTGTTTGAGGTAAGTGACGTTGACGGCAGTTAGTCTGGGAAGAGAACTCAGGCAGTACATGTAGTGCCTGAATCAAAATGTTGACTGGCAGACAGCTACCAAACACGCATCTAAATCATCAGTCCCGAAACTCTCCCTGCCGATAATGAAAAGTTGTAGCTCGCGTTGGGTCGTAAGGTAATGCCGATTCAGGTAAGTAATGGAAAGAGGAACTAGTCAAACTACCTGTGTCTGATACAGACGATCGTTGAGGATCCCAATGACTTTGCGTGAAGCATTTCACAAAGTTCTTGCGCAGTGCAAGTCCAAGTTCCTCCCAAAGTCCCAGGTCGTTATCTCGGCTCAGTGCACGAGCAGGGAGGCACGTGCTCCCTATCTACTTAGGAGCCAAGCAGTGCTTATCACTACACTCACGCCACCCTCCCTCGGCGTCCCGTCACCCAGCCCAAGGTTTTGGAGAACCCCCCGATTCCAATTTCCCCATCAAAGCGCACATGGAGAAGACGTGACGGAACAGCTGCAGAAGGCCAAACGACTTTCTTTGCGTCGACCAGGGCCCGTCTTTCAGTCCGATTGTGCCATCATCAGCCCCATCCCACCACGCAACAAACACATTCTTTCTCGCAACAAGGTTCTCAAGGCTCTACAAAAAGGCGGTGCTGTCCCGTTCAACTAAAAGTAAGTTAAAGAGTTGGGCTTCAAGGTTCCTGGTCCAGTCCCCTCCCCATCCCTTGCTCCAGCCAGGTCCCGTCTTTTCGAAGGTCCACGGGAGCGGACCCCTCCCCACTTTTGTATTCCTTTTCCTCCACCATTGCATCGGTGACCAACAACCTGACCACCTTGGCCTCGCTCCTACAGCCCGTTGCGCCAGCCTGACCCAAACCACCACTTTTCGATCCCGCTCATTCAGGTTTCTCTCACTAACCTGCCAACTTCAGTTTCTTTACGCAACCAAGGCCTGACTGACCGTATTGCACGCGACACAATCGCGACAAGCCGCTCTCCAACCAATCATACTCGCAACATGTCGTCTGTGGTGAACGAGGGGGAGAAGCCCCAAGAGGCCGCTCAGGAGCAACAGGAGGAGGAGCAGCAGCAGCAGCAGCAGCAAGAGCAGCAGAACGCGGGAGACGATGTCAACGATGATGAGGTGCGCCAGCTCCGGCCCAAGCCCAGCGATACGATCCACCGTGTTTGCTTCCACGCGGAGTGCAGGCGCTAACACCAAGTAATCGTGAACAGGAGGAGATCTCGGCCATGAAGCGCCGTGTCGCCGAGATGGAAGAGGAGGCTGCCAAACTCCGCGAGATGCAAGCTAGTCTGGACCAACAGCATCACGAGCTCACCGAGAACAAGGAGGATATCGACAGTCGGAGCATCTTTGTCGGAAACGTCGACTATTCGGCTTCGCCTGAGGAGATCCAGGCGCACTTCCAGAGCTGCGGGTCCATCAACCGTGTCACCATCCTCCTCGACAAGTTTACCGGTCAACCCAAGGGGTACGTATCTCCTCTTCTTTCCCAGCTGATTACTCCCAAGTACATACGCTGACGGTGTCATTTATCCAATAGTTACGCGTATGTCGAATTCACCGAGCCTAGCCTAGTCGCACAAGCCCTTGTTCTCAACGAGAGTGTCTTCAAGGGCCGCAACATCAAGGTCGTCCCCAAGCGCACGAATATTCCCGGCATGTCGCGCGGCGGTCGAGGCGGTCGAGGTTCCTTCCGCGGAGGCGGTCGCGGGGGCTATTTCGGTGGACGGGGCGGTTTCCCTCCTAGGGGAGGCTACCGTGGCGGCTACCGTGGACGCGGCCGAGGAGGCTACGCTCCTTACTAGTTGTTTTTTTGGTGGTGGTCTGACATACGGCACAGGATCCCGCATCCATCAGGACAATCAGAGCCGTATGCGGCCCCTCTCTGACATCCGCAGACACTACCTGGAATTGTGAAGATGGGCTCGATCTCATCTGAGCTGGTACCACTATCAGGCAACCCGGTGTACGTGTTGCTCATGATTCATGGGAACGTTTTTTTCCCTTTTGATGGCTGTAAGATTAGGATATATCAGCAGGGAAGAGGAGGACACTTGAATGGTGGAGGAAAGGAAGGGTTCGTTGTCTTGGCCTGTTTTTGCACCATGGGAGCAATGGGATTTTCAAAGTTTTCATTTTGGCTGCGCGTATCGGCAAGGCGTCAATGGGTGGGAGGGTAAAACGAAGGAAAACGCCAATTCCATATGCTCTTTTATTTCTTCTTCGTTTATTCATGTCACGTTCAATTTTTGTATTTGATATTTGGCATAAGCGCCGTCTACTACTTTTCGGTTCGACATTTGCTACGGCTATGTCTGCTCAGGGGAATCATCAGCGAAGTTGCTTAATATGGGCTGTCTGTTACCGCTAGCCATCACCACATAATGACTAGCTTTGGCAACAATTGAAGCTATCACTTGATACTTCACTCTGCGAACATGTGCTCGAATTAGTGTAGCGATGCTACTTTATTCACACCGCTATTGTTGTTCCGACACTAAAGATAAAGAAAGAAAAAAAAAAAAAAAAAAGAGTCCACGGATCGTCAGATGCCAGGTGCCGCCGCCTTCGCCGCGAACCTACATCTCAACATTTTCCACCGAGATTGAACTACTCCAACATATAAAGGGCATACCAATGACAACCCAACAGACACCTGTGCAAGACATCTTTGCTCCGATAAGACCGAAGGCGGGTTGTGGTGAAATTCGAAGAGGCTGGTTTTTGAGGCATAGTAGAGTGAGTAGAAGAGCTATACGCGGATTGCGCATTACCACTTTTGAAAAGTGTCGAACGAAGGGCGCTCCACTTTTGCTGTCTCGCTTCAATGATGACAGGCACTAGTAGGTGTAGTGTAAATAGTGTACATATGATGGGTATGCCTCCATGAACTCCCCATCGTCAAAAGCACCTCAACAAAAAAAAGAAACCTCGATTGAAAATCCAGAGATGCAGTAACGCCCCGCAGTTGCGTCGCACGCGAGGGGTATCAAAATGGAGATGACCGGCGTTTGTGTCAGTGATGCGCTATTGTTGGAACAGCAGCGTCTCGGTCGGCGGCAACGGGGGTATACTACATGTACTGGGATACGCTAGCGAACGCCTTTTTGCACCCCGTGCGGTGTATCGTCGTTATGGGATGTAGAGGTGCTGTGCGTTGAATTGTCAAGGTTGAGGTTTGGAGTGTTCACTTTCCTAATTGACTGCCTCTGGAGGTTTCTTCAAAGTTCGGTAGTGACTTGATATCTGGTAGATCTGCGCAAGATCATGATCATCCTCGATCGTTGGGCTACCTATTGGAGTTTTTGGAACAGACTGCTTCTACACTACACTACTACAATCTTGGCGTTCCCTGGAGGGACCTCGGAGCTTGGGGCGGTCGGTGGAAGTCCTTTACTAGTTATGGAAAGGCATTCAGACCAACATAGCTATTCTAACTCTGTGTCGATGACTGAACCGTGAGCCATGGTATATTTTCCTCACAAGGCATCAACTCCTCAAAAAAAAAGACACGGGACTATGTGATCCATGTACACCAAGGTTTGCTCTTTGTGTGCCAATGATGTTGTTGATGTTGATCTCGAGATCTGGATGCCGTCCATGCCAAGCGGGCATGGAGTGAATGTGGCCCCCTGGGAGTCTGGGACTCGAATGACCCGACCAACTACTGTACTTGAGAGAAGAAGTGGAAGTCCCGCACTGTGCGCACCTTCCGCTTCAGTTCTCGCTCTTTGCAGGCTTCTGCTAACTAGTTCCTGGCCTAAAAGTAGCCACTCGTTAATGCGATACCTGAGCTACTAACTGAAAAGTTAGGCTTTTTACACAGAGTATGCTAGGCCAGCCATACATTCTGTTAATGCTGTTGAACCATTATCTCTTGTCACCTCCCCCGGTCTCTTCACCAATGCTATCCAACTTGGACTGTCAATTTCTTGGCTTGGTTGCACCATTGCACCTTTGCAACATCGCAAGACGTCCAGGTTCCTCGGTCGTTTTCCCTCCCATCCTTTGGTTGGGTTCTATCATCCGTCGGTTGCAACTTACCTAGTGAAGGTCTTTGAGCTCTTCACCTGGACCTTCTTGGGGTTGGTCCGTCGAACCCAAGCTCACCCACCCGCCACTTCCAGCAGCTTCACCGCGACAAAAAAACGACAGCATTCAACCTCAACACTACTAACTAGAGGTACCCTTACCAGACGAACCTAGACATCCGAGCGAGTTTAGACTACCTACTGGTTGATTCACAGAAGTGGTTTCCTATCAGACCTGCCTTGCCGACTTTGCTAGTACAGAGATTAGGTTACTTAGTATTACCAAGCCACAGCCGTCCAACCTTGGCCTCTTGGATTGCTTGGCCTTTCCTTGCAGTTCGCCTTCCGCCGCCGTGACTACCTGACAGCGTAAGATACCCAAAGCGGGGGGCCCGGCTGGCCACACACGAGTTACCAAGAGCAGCACAGCCTCACCACCTACGGGCGCTCAAGAGTCCCTCTAGCTTCCATCTACCACCTACTGCCACCTACAGAATTTCATCCACCCTGCCGCATCCATTCCGTTGCCAGTGACTGCGCGTTCTCGTCAACGTCAGTGTCCATCGCAACGAGAGTTGGCCCTTTTGTATCAATCGTTCAGCCTGCTTGTACGATCGTCGACCTGTCCTCCTTTCATCCCCGCCCCGCCTGCATCCAGCCGAGAGTCCTCGATCCCAAACGAGCGAGAGCGACCGACTACCCGAACCGATTGCGACCAGCCTCTGCTTGGTCCAAGAAACGAGACGGAAACATAAAGCCCCGCGTGCGAGTTTGTTGACGCGCTCCATCTGCGACAATGACCAGCAGCCGGGACTCGGGGCTGCCGGCGTAAGTTCTCCCACGACTAGACTCTCCATCTACCCATCTTGTCTGCTTTGCGTCGCCCTCAGGGACCGCGGATCATAAGAGAGAGAACAGCCAGCTAACGACCACCACGATTAAAGCCAGCCCAATCTCCGCGTAACAAGTACTCAGCCCCCTTTGCGACGAATGTGTCCGATGACCAACCGGTGTACTAACATGCCCCTCTAGTCATCGCCGCCGATGGTCTATACAAGCGAGATGTCTTCAGTATGTTTCTCCCCGTGGCCAGGTGTCATGCATCTTCTAAGCCACTTCCAGGCGGCATATGCTAACCGCATCATCATCACAGGGTTTCCCGACCCGTTCGCCGTCGCTACCATCAACGGTGAGCAGACAAAGACCACCCAGGTCTCCAAGCGCACCCTAAACCCATACTGGAACGAACACTTTGATTTGTAGGTTCGACCTTAGCTCAGATTTGACAGCCCAAGGGCCAGCTGGCTGATAAAACGTAGCAAAGTGAATGAGGACAGCATTCTGGCTGTCCAGGTGTTCGACCAAAAGAAGTTCAAAAAGAAGGACCAAGGTTTCCTCGGTGTCATCAATGTCCGGATAGGGGACGTAATAGAATTGGCTCCCGATGCGGAAGGTAAGGTTTCACTGCAATTCACATGTGTTTGCAGGTTGACAGCGCGATTCGGGACTGACATGCACCACACCCACAGATCAGATGCTCACGCGGGACCTTAAGAAATCGACCGACAACCTCGTGGTGCACGGCAAACTGATCATAAACCTATCTACTAACCTCACAGCAACCATGAGTCGCCTCGGTCCCCCTCCATCTTCGAGCAGGCCATCACTACTTACCCCTCAGAGTTCGGTTATTTCTAACGACAGAGCGAACGAACGTCCTTCATCAGCCATGTCCGGACCTAATGGAACTGCCAATAACATGACTTTGGCAAGCCGACCCGCTAGCCTGGCTGTTTCGTCGTCGTCGACAGCCCCGACCCCCGGGACAAATGGAACAGCCCCAACGAACCCGTCGACCCTCGTTCCGGCGCAAGCCAGGCACCATAGCACGCTTAGCCCCTTCGAAGATTCAATGGGAAGATTGCCAGCTGGCTGGGAACGTCGCGAGGATCATTTGGGGAGGACATATTATGTTGATCATAATTCACGGACCACGAGCTGGAATCGGCCAACTGGCACAGGGGCGGCCGAAAACCGTACCGCCGAAGCCAATACTCAAGTCGAGCGTCAACGGCATCAGAACAGAACACTTCCCGAGGACCGCACTGGCGCCAATTCCCCCACGCTACAGCAGCAGCAAGCTGCCGCCACCGCCAATGCTGCCACTATGATGCATACCGGGGCGACAACCCCCGGAACCGGTGAATTACCTGCTGGTTGGGAGCAGAGGTTTACCCCAGAAGGAAGACCGTACTTTGTCGACCACAACACGCGCACTACTACCTGGGTCGACCCTCGACGCCAGCAGTACATTCGCATGTACGGTGGCCAGAACAACACGAACGGGACCATTCAACAACAGCCGGTGTCTCAGCTCGGTCCCCTGCCTAGTGGTTGGGAGATGCGGCTCACCAACACGGCTCGCGTCTACTTTGTGGATCACAATACCAAGACAACGACCTGGGATGATCCTCGTCTGCCTTCGTCGCTCGACCAGAACGTACCGCAGTACAAGAGAGACTTCAGGAGGAAGCTCATCTACTTCCGTTCGCAGCCTGCTATGCGGATCATGTCCGGACAGTGTCACATTAAGGTCAGAAGATCGCACATTTTCGAGGATTCGTTCGCGGAGATTTCGAGGCAATCGGCGACCGACCTGAAGAAACGATTGATGATCAAGTTTGACGGCGAGGACGGCCTCGATTACGGCGGTCTGTCGCGCGAGTTCTTCTTCCTCCTTTCTCACGAAATGTTCAATCCATTCTACTGCTTGTTCGAGTATTCGGCCCACGATAACTACACCCTCCAGATCAACCCCCACTCGGGTATCAACCCTGAGCATCTCAACTATTTCAAGTTCATCGGCCGGGTCGTAGGTCTGGCTATTTTCCACAGGCGATTCCTGGATGCCTTCTTTATTGGCGCTCTGTACAAGATGGTTCTCGGAAAGGCTGTCAGCTTGGCGGATATGGAGGGTGTGGATGCCGATTTCCATCGGTCTCTGCAGTGGATGCTGGATAACGACATCACCGACGTTCTTGACGCGACCTTCTCTACTGAAGACGAGCGGTTCGGCGTAATCACCGAGGAGGATCTAATCCCTAATGGTAGGAACATTGCGGTCACGAACGAGAACAAGAAAGAGTATGTCGAATTGATGGTGAAGTGGAGGATCGAAAAGCGCATTGAGCAACAGTTCCGGGCGTTCAAGGATGGCTTCCATGAGCTTATCCCGCAGGATCTGATCAACGTGTTTGATGAGCGCGAGCTTGAGCTGTTGATTGGTGGTATTGCCGAGATCGATGTCGACGACTGGAAGAAGCACACGGATTACCGTGGTTATACCGAGTCAGACGAGGTAATCCAGTTCTTCTGGCAGACTGTTCGGTCGTGGGATGGCGAGCAGAAGTCGAGATTGCTCCAGTTCACGACCGGCACATCCCGTATCCCAGTCAACGGATTCAAGGATCTCCAGGGTAGTGATGGTCCTCGTAGATTCACGATTGAGAAGGCAGGAGAGATTACGAATCTTCCCAAGGCGCATACATGGTACGTATGAATACGGAGATGAAGACGTGGTAAGGACTTTTGCTAACAGGTTTTGTTTTCTTGTGCAGTTTCAACCGGTTGGATCTGCCACCGTACAAGTCTCTGGAGATGCTGCAGCAAAAGCTTACGATTGCTGTGGAGGAGACTATGGGTTTCGGACAAGAATAAAAGGACAAAAACAGGGGCGATTAATCATTGACAGAGGGACGAATATGGTGATATGGGATATGGTGGCATGGCTGCGATGGCTGCATGAAGGAAAGAACGGTACTGCTACACGAGTATTGGGTGGCATGCGTCGAATTTATGATAGCATCAGGTTTTTTTTTTCTTATCAATTTATCTTCCCACCCCTTTTGGTTTCTTTTTAGTTTGGTGCGAAGTTCATTGGCACCGGAGATTACTACTGTTACCTCGCCCCTCTCCGGTGCACAAGAGCTGTATATAAATGGATTGTTTGCTTGTTATTGATCCTTCAAGGAGTGAGCTTCAGCATCCTGCTACTGGTATCCGTTCAAGTGTGTTGGTATTATGGAATCAAGCAATGCCAAGTTCGTGCTTGCAACGATTACCCTGAAGACAAAGAGGAGGGCGGGTGGTTTATGTTTGCATATCAGGAACCAGGAGATGGGTTGTAAAGTTTACCGCGTACGTAGTACACTAGACATAATTTGATATCCCACTAAGGGACCCATACTATGTGCGTCATCCCGTAGGGATACCGGTACTCGCTATGTGTTACACTAAGCAGTCGATACTGACTGCAGAGCATCCTGGCTGTATAAGCTGTCTTGGTTCTGTCAACCATATCCGCTCCTTGACGTTTGACTTGCTTGTTGGAAGTTCACTTGATGGATCGAGATCCCGGTCAGACCTGACCGAGCACTTCGGAAGATGTTGCAGCTCCGGCAGTCCGGTTAATATTCGCGGCCGGCGTGGGGGTTCCTGCATTATCGCACGGCAGATAAACGGGAAATCTGGATGCATGACAGTGACATCGGGGCAAATATTCCTCTTGTCTCTCCGAACTATTGACAAATCTGTTCGGCACATTTTGTGTAACTCCGACGCTCATTTGAGGGGAACCATCTCTACTCATCACGTCAGTTTCTCCGTTGCCAACACTCGCCGCAAAAAGACAGCGCGAGGTGGTCACAATCACCAAAGCACCAGGAGCAAATGGCGCCACCAACCCCCCGCTCCCCAGGAGTCCTCTACTGGGCTCCCCGCCTCTCGCTCGGCGCCTTAGCCATCGCCTTCCTCATCCACCTCAACCACCCCGCCTCCTCCTTTTCCCTCTTCAGCCCCAACACCATCCGCAACTCCGGCTCTGCCATCACAGCAAAGACCTACTGCTACACCTCGGTTCTCACCTCCGCCGGCTCTTCTAGAGAAGCCGACTGCTTCTCCGTTTCCCCCGATGGCAGGTTTACAAAGGTGTTTCACTCGGCGGAGGATGTCTTGATTGTGGGGGATAATGATTATTTCGATGAGGATGGGGGGAACAACATGGTGGTGGAGACCAAAGCGGGACATGTCATCCCGGGCATTTGGGATGGCCATGGACATCTAGTTCAGTATGGAGAGTTTTTGCATTCGGTGGATCTGTTCGGAGCGAGCAGTGTGGAAACGGTGAGGGAGAGAGTTAAGGAGTATTTGCAGGAGAGGGAAAGGGAGGGGAGTGATGTGGGGAGTAAGGAAAACTGGTAAGTTATTGAGAGGGGTGAATGAGTGAGTGAGTGAGTGAGTGAGTAAATTAGGGATTGAATGATGGGGGTGGAGAGTACGTACTGCGTGTTGCGCGGGAGGGAAAGTGAGAGGACGGCTGGCTGACAGACTTTGATACATCATAGGGCGAGAGGTGTTGGTTGGGATCAGATGGTGTTGGGGGAGATGCCTAGTGCTGTGAGTATCTGTTATGCTTCGGAAGAGAAATAAACGAAAGGGTTGCTAACAAGTCATCAGGCCATGCTCGAGTCCGACCCAGCTCTCAAGGGTAAATACATCATGCTCGACCGAGTCGACGTGCATTGTACCTGGGTCTCGCAAGCCATCTTGGACCTTATTCCTGCCGAGTCGCTCCCGGAGGAGGTCCCCGGTGGCGAGATCATTCGGGAACCGGGCCTAGGAGTCTTCTGCGACAACGCCATGGACATCGTCACTTCACTATGGCCCAAGCCCGACGCAGAGCGCAAGAAGACCTTCCTCAAAACTGCCATGAAGGAGCTGCACAAGGTCGGTTTGGTCGGCATGAACGACGCCGGCGTGACGCCGACCGACCTGAAGGTGTATGATGAAGCCAGCCGGAACGAAGACTGGTGGACTCTCCGCGTGTACGCCATGATTGAGTGCGGCGAGCGCAATGTCTTCTGCCCGCTCGAGGCCAACTCTGTCAGAACCCAGCACGAAGACGGTATGCTCACCATCCGCAGCGTCAAGCTCTTTGCCGACGGTGCCTTAGGATCCTGGGGCAGCGCCATGATCGATCCTTACTCCGACAAACCTTCCACTCGTGGCTCCCTGCTCGTCAACGGCTCAACCCTCGAGTCTCTTGCCCGCTCCTGGTCCAACGCGGGGTACCAAGTCAACATCCACGCCATCGGCGACCTGGCCAACCGGTACGCCATCGACGCCCTCGAAGCCGCCCTCAAAGACGCCTGCAATCTTTCCGACGGAAAGACACTTAAGGACTGCCAGCAAGCCTCTCACCGCTTCCGCATCGAACACTCACAAATCATTCACCCCACCGACCAAGCCCGCATCCGTGATCTAGGCATCATCCCCTCCATCCAGCCCACGCACGCCACCTCGGACATGGCCTACGCCGAGTTACGCTTGGGCCCCGAGCGCACCGCCACCGAAGCTTACCGTATGCGCAGCTTGATTCACGAACTGGGAGTCCAGCCTGTTTTGGGGTCCGACTTCCCCGTTGAGCCGCCCAACCCGTTTGAGGGCATGTACGCGGCCGTAACGAGGAAGAACCCGCATACGGGCAAGGGAGCTGATGGTGGCGATAAGGGTTGGTATACTGATGAAGCACTGGGTCTTGAGGAGGCGCTTGCAGGCTTTACCAAGGGGGTGGCGGGCGGGATGTTTACAGAGGGGAAGACGGGTGTTATTGAAGAGGGCGCATTTGCGGATTGGGTGGTGCTTGATGAGCCGTTGGAAGTGTTGGCCGCTAGGGACAACGGGGAGGGATTGAGGAAGATTAAGGTTAGGGAAACGTGGGTTGGTGGTAGGAAAGTGTATGATCGGGAGGAGAAAGTGGCGAAGAAGGTAGTGAGTAATGGGGAGGAGGGGGTGAGGGAGGGTTTGTGAAGGAGAGAGTAAACAGCAAAGGTAATGTTGCAAACATGGATGATGTTATGTATGATGGATGCTATGACTGGATGACGTACAACGATGGTATACACGACAAGAGATATAAGGGTTGTGTGAACTAGAACGTGTTTTGGTTCTTTGTCGAATTAGACCAGATCTCTGTCCAAAGAGACTATGTCAGCGGCCCTTCACTTTCTGGTTCAACCGTCTCTCCAGCATCCCTCCCAAAAAATCAATAATCGCTTTGCCTATCCTGTTCCTGCTGTTAATCCCTCGTGCCTATCACGACGAAGAGCAATGAAGACGCTGAACACAGTCAAATATCACCAAGGAGCCGAAGACCAAACTCGTTTGCGATCTGTAGTTACAATATTGACCTGTCTTCAATCACCCATCATTAGTCATATTTCATAAGCAACAACCGCACCTTCCACACGGCACTCCCTTGGCCGCTCCTTAAGCAGCAAAAGCCTGAATCTTCTTAATCCTCTCCTTGGCCTCTTCCCTCAACTCCTTAACAATATCGCCAGCCGGCTTCTGGTCCTTTATCAGACCCACAGCAGTCCCGCTGCACATAGACATACCAGTTAGCAAACAGCATCAACAGCCTTTTTGCAAGATAAAGGAAAGAAGAGAGAAAAAAACATACGACCAAGTCACAGCCCGCGAGTTATCCCCAGAGCTCGCTGCCTCCTTGAACTTCTGGTGATTCTCTTCAAAGGGGACACCGGCCGCGTGGTCGTCGTAAGAGGCATTGCGAACCGCTCGCCCGTCGTAGACGTTGTGCCAGATTGTGTTGCTGTTGATTTGGTCGTGGAAATGGGATCTGTAATTTGGTTGTCAGTCGGCTGCTGGTGTGCAGTTCAGGGTTAAAAGGGTATGACTAACTTGACGGTGTTGAGACCACCATCGTTTGTCTCGAGGATGACCTTCCTGCGGAACTCGGGGGTGGAAGCTTCGACTGCTACGGTGAACTGAAAGGGAGGCTTGTCAGTACTTGTTTTCCCATCCAGAAGGAGGAGGAAAAGAAAAAAAAAGGGGGGGGGATCTGGTGAAGAACTTACCCTAGTACCCAATACCACACCCTCGGCGCCTATTAATCAATTTGACCAGGTAGTTAGCACATCATTACCCATCTCTTCATACTCACCCACCACTTATCCTGATCCATTTCACTTCACTTCCCCAGAGAGAACACTGAAAGAAAACTCACCTAGACCCAGCGCCCCTACAACCCCCCTCCCATCCGCCACACCTCCCGCCGCCACAACCACCACCTCTCGTTCCTTGAACTCTCTATCAAGCATATCCCTAACCTCCGGTACCAGACTCACAATCCCACTCCCTGTAGCAAGCTGATGCCCTCCCGCATCGATCCCTTGCGCAACAATCACATCTGCCCCATCCGCCACCGCCTTCCTTGCATCCTTCACCGTGCCCACTTGAAAGAATACCACGAACCCCGAAGCGTGAAGAGCCTCGATGATTTGCTTTGCTGTTCCCTTTGCGCCAGGCTCGGAAGAGGACTCGAAATCCGGGTCGTTGGCGAAGAGCCAGACTGCTTGCGGGGAGTGTTCGATCAGGATGGGCAGGACGGTGTCGGTTACGTAGGGGACGGAGATGGTGTGGGTTAGGATGAGGCCGACGCCAATGCCGGGGAGAGGGGTGAGGGGGCGGTCGGTAAGACCGAGGCGGCTGCGGGCGGAGGCGAGTTCGGTGGAGAGGGCGGTTAGGTGGGAGGAGCCGGGGCGGAAGTCGGAGCCGCCGGCGACAAAGCCTGGAAAAGGTTGCGCGGTGGTGTTAGTGCTGGGGGGTGTAGATGAGATGGGTGAGTGGTAATAAGAGAAGGGGAGACGAACCAATACCGCCGGCCTTGGATACCTCGGCCGCAAGAGTGCCGTTGGCGATGAGATACATGGGGGCGCTGATGATGACGGGGTTCTTGGTGGTGGGGAACCAGGAGTTCAGCTTCGTGAGGGCCGCTTGGGCGGATTCCTCCTTCTTGCTGCTGTGGCCTGGGAAGTGCATGTTTATTGGTATATCTTGTTGATTCTGATTTCAAGTGTCTTTGGTGTTGTTGTTATTGTTGGTGAAGGATCGTGGAACGGAGCTTTAAGTGAGGTGAGGTGCGGGGTGATGGTATGCTTATATAAATACTCCAACTCGGCGATGAGGTTCTCCGCGGAGGTTGTACTTACACCACAACTCAAAGTGGAGAAGGGTCACTCTTATATACGACAACAGCCGATCGCTTTCCGGTGGCTATGTTGAGTGACTTGCGACTTTCTCAAAAACTTGTTGTATTACTGAACGATTTCCTGATTGGGATGTTTGGTATGGGTCCGGACATGGGGTGAATTACCGAGGAGAATAGGTGATTCACACTTGCACCGTTTGTTTCCCCGCAAGGTCTCTCGGTCAAATAGTTAAACATTGACAGACGAAATCCGAACTTGGGAAGAAAAGGAAGCATGAGATCAGAAATCCTGAGTGGATATTTTATGTATATCTCCAGGATGAGGCGGCAATGCCATTCAATCAGAAAGTCGCGGTCATGGGTGAATGTATAGTACTGTCTGTTTTTGGATCAGTCATCAAAATGATCTATCTGCTAGATGGCGTTGTGGGTCTGGTAGCCCCGATCCGCTGTCTGTCTATTCAATGTTGTCCTTTGAGCTATCCAAGGCCTTTGAACAAAGCTATGTGCAACACATGAGTTGCTGTATATCGGTTGTCAAGAGCTTCAAGGCTCCCGTATCCCCTTGGCCCTTGGCATGGGCAACATACTCTCACCTGCATGATCGCATAAGCATTGGCAGCCATCAGGGCGCCTTTCCCACCATCAAGACCAACAATATCGCATTGCCGACGCACGCCACTACAAATGTCACCCACACCGCAATCTCTCCTATCACTGAAGGTGCTTGAAACTCGTGCCTCGAATTCCACAAGCACAACGCAGCGACTGCCGTGCCCAGCGAGGTGACGATCCCGACTGTCACGCCAGCATCTACCTCCATTCTCATCTTGTGGCGGCCCGTCATGATCAACATTGTCGCAATACCCATCAGCACAAACGTGACCAGGTAGCAGCCCCAAGTGCCCCAAAACAACGTTTCGTCACGATGGCGTGCAATGCGTTGTTGTTCTAGGCTTCGGTAGCCCGACTCCGGGAACTCCTCAGAAGACGCATAGCCGTAAGAGCCTCTTCTCTCGGCGCGCCAACGATCACGGCTGAAGCTGTGTGGAGGCGAGTTTGTGAAGCGATCGCTGGCGTTGTCATCGTCGATGTCGGTGTCGATGGGGGCAACGCCAGGAGGGTATGTAAAATAGCTGGGCGGCGCGAGGGTAGCGCCGTACCGGTCGGTCGACTGGGTTTGCGAGGATCCTAGTAGAGGCTGCTGTTCTGTACTTTCGTTTGCGCGTTGGTCTGGTGTTGATTCCTGACCACGCCCCATAATCTTCTTCATCGGCGACGAGATCCAGTTCATTATGCTGCTTACACCAGGGAATTTCATCTCTTCATCCGGGTTGATATAGATGGCATATTCATCGCAACGATCGTCGCCGGCTTCGCTGCCGTGGTCATATTCGTTCCAATATCCTGTCGGGGCATCATCCTCGGGAACAATGGTCACGTTAGGCGCGAGTCGTTGTTCCCCAGCGCCGGTCGGGCGGGTGGGCGTGGCGGGCTGGGTAGGTGGAGAGGAACTGCCACTGCGACTCGAATCTCTCGGCGAGGCAGAGCGTATCGTCTGTAGCAGGTTTTCGTATTGTGATTGAAGCCGGGAGAAGTCACGTTTGGTGAAGCTTTTGGGGTTCGCCAGGATGGTTTCCCTGAACCGCGAGCCGAGAGTCGCCGAGCCCGTCCATTTCCGGTACTTCTTTAGAATCTTGCGAAAGGCAACGGTGTGCGCATTGACAAAGCGTTGGAGGGCCTGGATCTCGTCACCGCATTGTAGCAATTCTTGTTCGTATCTTGCAAATTGGCGCTGTCTTTTGGTCGAAGTGCGCGTTCTCGTAGAGGCAGCGCATCGGACAATATGGGCGTGTATTTGATTGGACAAGTGTTCTAGCGACGTGTGTCAAGATGTTAGTCATTCGCGGCCGGAGTTGGGAGAATAGAGTGGCAGTGAGACGAGGCAAACATACGAAGACGGCGCGCTATTTCGTCCGCTTTGCTTGATACAAACAGGTCGACACGATCATGTTGTCGGCAAAGCTCGTCATAGAGGTCGTCTTCAAACTTTGAGAGTGCGGCGGCTTGGTGGCCTGGAATGGCAATCGCGGTTCCCTGAGACCTGGTGGTGTGCGCCTTGATGTAGTGTTTTAGCGAGTTGTAGTCGATGTTATCTGCTCGGTTAAAGTAAAAGATCAGCAGGCATTCGTTGGTGAGATGTGGCACAGTCATCAGCAAAACCGGCGGAACAAGACGGGGAAAGACATACGGATTCGCCATTGGGGGACAGACTCCCTGTCAAACTGCTCCCCAAACTTCATTCCTGGTAGATGTGGTGGGCTGTAGTGGTGGTTGTACGGGTGTAGAGACTGGCACTTGTAATGCACGTATTGCAAGAAATGTCCTTTCACAACGTCGTCGGATCCCGTCTTGGGAGTGGCTACACCCGGTGGCGTCAATGTACGAAATAAACCGGTCTGCTGGGATTTTGATGGTCTGTATCGCTCCAAAAACCTGCTTCTTCTTTGTGCCTTTGTTTTGGTTCAAGTCGACGCCAAAGGCAGTGCAAAAAAGGCCGGAATGAATCTGTAATGACGATGTTGTTGGAGGGAGGCAAGCGGTTATATGCACAGATAAAAGAGGTAGTGTACAACTGTCTGTCGGGAACCCGCACCGGCGTCTCTTGCACCAACGGCACTGTGGCTATGACGAAAGTGTGGGATAAAAGCTTTGATCGCTGGCGGAGACGGTCCGGGGGGATGGGGACTGGACAGCCCAGGGTGTTGACTGTTTGAGGTCGTGATAAGGACGACCGGGGGACCGTGTGGGCTTTGGAGAAGACGGTGAAGTTTCAACCGAGCGATCAACACAAACACTTCAGATTCGTTTCGGATGGCTGGAGACGGAGCGTCGCTAGACTTAGTTGGTAGAGTGGTCTAGAATGGCTGACCAACGGTTGACTGCCGTCAGTTGCGCTTAGTCTTTAGTGTGAACGTCGACCGAAGGCTGCGAGAACTGGCGGGGAGAAAAGTGAAAGGAGACAAAGACGAAGATGGCAGAGAAGAAAGAAAGAAACGAAGTGTAGTGTATGTGACGACAGGCCGAGCCGAAGTGAATCTGAAGAGCCGTCAAATCTGAGACAAGATAAGTAAGCTGGAGTCACAGGCTTTTGAGAAAGCCAAGGAATCAAAATCAAGAAGGTCCTGTCCATCCAATGCGAACGAGAGGAACCACCTTCCACTCGAGCTTTCTCAGTGGGTCTTTCCGCCAGGACCCAATGCAGCCGGGTCCCTCCCCTCCAGGGCAGAAAAGTCTTTGGTGGGACCTCGAGGTTTCCTGTGGGCTCTCTACACTACACTACGACGTAGCAGAAGTGGAGATGGAACCAACTGAGTTTTTGGTGTCCATCGTCTGCAACCATGTCCGTCAATGAGGTTTCCTTTTTGTTGGTTATCTTCAGGAACTTGCTTCAGTTCCCGGTCTCCCGTCTTTACCGTCCCGGAATGTGGTTTTTGATTGGTACGGTTCCTTGATAGTTCCACCCTGGTCTAGATTCATCGGCCCTGTCATAATTCAGTAAGCAGGCACGTGCTTGGGGCTGCCCGTCTCGTTGCCCGGGAAGCTACCTACCCTCGGGAACGGTTAGACCTTCAATCTCTTCCCTTCTTTGTTCGGGCAAAAGGCACGCGACCAAGTGTTGTCTGTGTGTTTACCTTATCCACAAGCGAGCGTTTGTCGAGGATGAGTCTATCACCAACTCGTTTATTATTGATCTACATATACATGTTCAAAAGTTTGTTAGCGCGAGACGTCCAACGTCTTCAGACGAGGGAGAGAACCACTGATTATGGCGCTGCTATTGGTCCAGACCACGCCAAAACCACCTCCAGGGTAACAACGATTGATCGTCTTCCACCAGGTTCCCCATACACATCCATTATGGTTGCATAACTGGCTCGTCCAGGACAAAAAGAAAAACATGGACTCCAGAACATGATGTCAACGGCATCTTGACAAGACACCTACGAGTTTGTAAGGCTGTAAACACTTGTTGGGGACCATGAATGACCATGAAGACGAAGAAATCAAGTGAAAATAACGAGAGGAAATATTATGATTCTGGTCTGGGCCGGCTGCAGTCGGTCTCTTTCATTTTAGTTATCCCAGACGAGCTTAGGTAGGTACTCAAGCATTTGCACCGTGGTCCTACCAAGAGAAAACGATCGAGTTGCCACTGGTACAACTGCAAGACGACTCCCAACAGCATGGATGGGGTGGGGCGGCGGACAGGTGCTCTTGACAAGTCATGTTGTGAAGACCTGTTGTGGGATGCAGTTTCTCCTCTCACCCTCACATACGCAGTATAGAGCCTGCCGGAAGGGAGGCAGATATGGAAAATAGAAAAGAATGAATCGGCCCGTCCGGATTTTTCACAAGGAGATCTCCTTCGCTTGACAAATTAGGTAACATCCGGCAACTCAAAAGGAATTCCCGTCCCTCCATCTCGACGTACTATCTTCCAGCTCTCTAACCAAACAGTGCGCGATTGGCAGTTACATCTTGTGAGCCAACCAAAACTTCTCTCGCGACCTCTTGTACGACTTTGGAAATGTTGCCGTTAACTTTGCCATGCTCATCTAGGTAGGTAGCAGAGATGGACGGTGTGATACGAATGGACCGAGGAACGCCACTCAAGAGACCAAGTTCATGTGTTGTACTATACGGGAGGCCACTGACACTTGATGGGAACCTCGCCGTTCACGACAGCAATGTTAGTGGTTAACAAACATCTCTACCGTGAGGTTCACATTTTCTTCCAGGCGCACATGAAAAAAAGGTCATATTGAGAGCACGCAACGCACGGCCATAGAGGCTGGGATCACCAAAGCCACCATTACCTTCACATTAGTCTTGGCAACGGATAAAGAACATGATCCAATTCCCTGACCTGAAATACGAAGGTCTCAGAGTATCACTCGCAGCTCGGCTCGGCGGGACACTTCCCGCGAGTTGCAATCAATGAAGGCTTAGACGGTCCAGACCCTAATGCAGCACGTCAACGCTGCCGTCGTATTTCGAAAGAATACCTCAAGGTCCGTCAAAATTCTCACAGGCGATATCATATACATAGGGATGTGGCTTGTGACGAAACTTCAACAAGTGTTATAACTTGCAGCATCTTTCCCCAGAGGTGCGCATATAACACCCTACATTTCTACTATGTAATAAGAGCGTTCTCTGCACGTTATCCAGACCATGAAGAAGAGCCCACTGGGTAAGTAGCCTACCTCTACAGAAAAGAGTCTGTCAACGTCCGTCGCAGAGATCTCAGTCTTATGTTGCAAAGAACATGAGAAGCATATTGTAATGTAGCTAGTATGAGGCAAACCCAGCGCTCTTCATCAAAAGGGGGGTTATCATCGATTCAACCAATCACAATTTTAGTACGATGTTAGTTACCTTTTACCATTTGAGGCAACACTTGCAGTTACGACGAAAGTGAAGCGGCGAAAGATAGACCACGAGCTGATGGGATTAGTAGAGGTAGACAGCCCAAAATCCAAGATAAGGAAGTGCTGATAACAAGCTAGGTGCCTGTGTCGAAACGGCGACTTTACCTATCCAACAGCACTGGAGATCGTTGCGTGATTGCTTACTGAGTTCCCAGTAACTTCAGAGTAACTCAATAGCGTATGCTATACTGAAAAAGGGTGATTGTGAATTCATTCCCTCTCTCAAGCTTGATCTCGAGCATCTCCTTGAGACTGCATGCACTTTGTGGTTTGTTTACTTGACATTGTCATCCGATTATAAGTGTTAAGGCAACCTCGTCTTATAGCGGTGCACCGCCCTGAAGCTTAACAACAAGAGAGGTGGGACCTACTTCCATTTCCAGAGAGCAGAATCACCCATCATTGGTCAATTCATAACCAGCCCCACAAGCTGGTGCGGGGACGCCTGCCTCCACGCTTCGTCGTTTCCTGGACCTTGGAGAGCGCTATGGCAGAAAAAATTTTGGTCCATCAATATCGCCGGCTGGCAACCAAACATCGCCAGGTCGAACTTTTTTTGTTTTGGTACGGGCAACGGCAATCACCGACGCCCTGCCATTTCTTAGTCAAGCGTCCATATTGAACCCTCAAGTCAGACACTTGTATGACAAGGCCAGCCCCGATACCCTAGCCTTGATTGATCTTCTCACAGCATCAGTCCAACCCTACCTAAAAAAAACAGACATGGCAGCTGGCAGCATAACCTCTTCCGTAACCTCGACATCCCAAACAATCACCCACGACCCCTCCACACACAACAGCGTCATGGCCGCTACCCTCGCCGCATCGTCGAGCGGCAGTACCTCTTCGTCGACAATTGCCAACAACCCCGTCGTCGCCTCCTTCCTCTCGGCCCTGGCCGACGAGTCCAACCGCCACGTCTTCCTGCAGCCGCCCTCGACCCTTCCCGCCGGATCCCTCCTGCTCGCCAAGGAGACCCTCGACGCGCTCGCCTCCCAGGTCAGTGACCACCAGCAGGCAAAGTTGAAAGAGATCGCGGCCACCATCGGTGGAAAGAAGCGCAAGCGTGAGGCTGGCTATGACAAGAATGCCGTGCTCAAGATTCGCAAGCTGCACGTCGACGACGGCTTCGAGACGGAGCAGATTTGGCAGCAGGCCAAGAAAATTATTGCCAGCGCCACAAAGGAGGCTGGCGATGTGCTGAAGGAGCTGGAGGAGAACGGGATTGTGGGCACCGGTGAGGAACAAGAGAAGACCATTGAATTTGGAGAGGATGGGTTTGAGCTTGGTTCTGATGAGGAGGAGGACGACGACGAGGAGGATGCTGATAGCGAATCAGGTTCTGGCTCTGAAGGAGAAGAGGAGGAGGAAGATGATGAAGAAGAATTAGAAGGAGAAGAGGGCAGCGAGATCGACGACGATGAAGAAGTCGAGATCGATGGCGAAGAGGTTGAATTCTCGGACGCAGACGGAGAAGGAGAGTTTGATGAGGAGGAGGAAGAAGAAGAAGAAGAAAAGGAGGAGGAGGATGCGCCAGAACTTGTCGAGGACCCCAACGGCCTCAACGACGGCTTCTTCTCAATAGACGACTTCAACAGGCAGACACAGTTGTGGGAGGACGCGGATGCCCGCGCGGACCCCAACGTCGATGCCGACAGCGACGACGAACAGCTAGACTGGCACGCCGATCCTTTCGCGACAAAGCCAAAAGCAAAGAAGGGCAAGAGCGACAAGAAGAAGGACGAAGACCAGGATGAGGACGACGTCGACATGGGCGATGAATCCGAAGACGACGAGGCTCTCGAGGCTGCTGCCGCCGCCCACGCCAAGAAACTCAAGGGCAAGAAGAACGTGGAGCAGCTCGAGGACGATGGCGACGATCTCGGCCTGACAGATGGTGTTCTCGGTATGGACATGGACCTTACCGCCAACGACATTTACTACAAGGACTTCTTCGCGCCACCTCAAAAGAAGAAGACCGGCAACCAAAGGAAAGGAGGCTATTTCCCCAAGAAACTTGAGCAGCCAGATGAGGCCGATATGGAGAGAGCCGAGAATGATGTGCGCCGCGATCTCTTCGACGACATCTCGGAGAATGAAGATGAGGATAAGCTCTCGGATCTTGATGCTGGTGATCCGAGATCTCGTCGGTCCGCCCACGAGCGCAGACAAGCCAAGATTGCCGAGGAGATCCGCAGGCTCGAGTCTGAGCTAGTTGCCAAGCGCGCCTGGACTCTGTCTGGTGAGGCTTCCGCGCAAGCTCGTCCCATGAACTCGCTCCTGGAGGAAGACCTCGAGTTTGAGCATGTCGGAAAGCCTGTCCCCGTCATTACCGAGGAGGTTTCCGAGACGATCGAGGCGCTCATCAAACGCCGCATTCTTGCCAACGAGTTCGACGAGGTTCTCAGGAGACGTCCTGACACCCTCAATAACCCCAACAACGCGCGCCGCGGTCTCGTTGAGATCGACGACACCAAGGGCAAGCAGTCTCTCGCCGAGATCTACGAGGAGGAGCACATCAAGAAGGCCAACCCGGACGAGTACGTCAGCGCTTCGGACGAGAAGCTCACGCGCGACGAGGCCGAGATCAAGAACATGTGGAAGGACATTTGCGCCAAGCTCGACGCCCTCAGCAGCTGGCACTACAAGCCTAAACCCGCCGCACCCACCATCAGCGTTGTCACCGACGTCGCCACCGTCGCCATGGAGGACGCCATGCCCACCACGGCCCAGGGTGTGTCGGGTGGCGAGAGCACGCTCGCGCCCCAGGAGGTGTACGCCCCCGGCAAGGACTCAGTCGAGAAGGGCGAGGTCGTGGCCAAGAGCGGCCTGCCGATTGCCAAGGAGGAGATGAGCCGAGAGGAGAAGGCTAGGAGACGCAGACGCGAGAAGGAGCGCATCCGCAAGGCCGGCGGCCTGGATGCGAACAAGAACATCAGCAAGGGTGCCCAGGAACGCAAGGAGACGATGAGCCAGCTCAAGAAGGGCGGTGTCAAGGTTATTAACCGGAAGGGCGAGACGGTTGGGTTGGATGGCAAGAAGATCGCGGAGCAGAAGGGTCCTACGTCGAGTGGTGCCTTCAAGCTTTAAAGATCGGGTTGTTAGATGAGGGATAGATGTAGGAAGAAGATGGATGATACCCTGATGGGTTGGACGGGTGGGCAGTCTTGGCTAAGGGCGATCTGTAAAGGTCTTTTTCTTTTGTATGGAATAGGTACATAATTGGGAGTTCAAAAACCATGCATGAGTTTGTTTTTCATCGGCCGTCAGCCGGTATACAATGCTCAACTGTTCCCGTTCAACATTGTCGAAGATGATTCTTGTGTGCCTAATATTCTGGAGTCAGTACAACAACTAATCCTGGCCCTCTCCAACCTCATTGCTCTATTTCCCCTCATGCTTTCCTATCCGTCAATATTCTCCGTGTGATCTTTCCTCCAATTCGGTCCAGATCATAGCGACTTATAATTTGGTACCTACCTCTACCTCCACCGGTCTGTAAAGTGAAAAATGCACAAACAGTCTAGCTGTCCATCCTCGGCTAAATTGGTAACTCTCCATTTTCATTACATCTCATCAGTATTTGGGATAACCTGCCCCTATTACTAGCTTGCCGTTTATCCAAAAAAAAAAAAAAAAAAAAAAAAAAAAAAAGGAAACCTTCCCTCTACCTTGCTCAAGGCTATCTTCGCCCCGGTTCCTTGGGTTTTGATTGATTAAGAAGAAGTGAAGAGAGAAGTGAAGAGAAACGTGAATGAAGTGAAAAGGGGATAACCAGAGGCTGAACAGACCATAAAGAGATAGTTAAGCATGTTGTAGACTACCTCTTATTCTGTTTGAAACCGTCTTCTTCGTCCGCCTCAATAAGACCTAGTGCCAGACGAACTGTCCAGACCGTGTTTGGTATCATTCTACATCTCTTATCCGCGTCCACCAGTACTATCCTCCACTGGGATTTTGATTTAGTTTGTCCATTTCTGGATTTATAAGCATATACCCAAGACTAAGGATGGAGCAATCATATAGATACCCTAGTTCTGGGGAACATCTCGTGAGCCCTTGACTTCTCGAAGACGGTCCGGAGATGTAAATATATAGCCATATACAACAGACCATTTGCAGTCCCCTCTTGATTATGATGACTTGGTTGGCGAGGGCCAAGGACATATATGTCACGAAAATCTCTCCTTGTTTTCATAGCAAGGATTGGCTACTTGAGTCTCTCATGAGAACTTTACAGTCGAGCGATGGGTCGTTTTCTCGCCCTCGTCAGACTTGCCAGATGAACATATAAACGAATAAAGGAGAAAAAGCAAGACGCAAACTTTGAGCATGATACATCTTGTCTAATTCCCACTGAAGTTCCTTCTTGTGAGCCGCTGTTCTCGAGCTCTTCCGTCCGTCCACCAAATCTAACCGTGCTGTCTTTCCGGTTTTTACCACCCGTCAATCTTCTCAATTCGTCGACCCCTTCTTCGCGCTACCACTCACCCCAAACTTCGTAACCCCCCATGACCACGACAAGCAGGTGCCAAGCAGTAGTAACGCTCTCTACTTGCGATACCACATCCTCGTAATCTTCGTATTCCGCATCTTCCTCTGCAACTGGAAAATGCCATACATGAGCGCTTCACTAGTAGGCGGGCATCCCGGGACGTAGATATCAACAGGGACAATCCGGTCGCAGCCGCGCACGACGCTGTACGAGTAGTGGTAGTAGCCGCCGCCGTTGGCGCACGAGCCCATGCTGATGACCCAACGCGGATCGGGCATCTGGTCGTACACCTGGCGCAGGGCGGGCGCCATCTTGTTGGTCAGGGTGCCCGCCACAATCATCACATCCGACTGGCGGGGCGAGGCACGGAAGATGATGCCCAAACGATCTTGATCGTACCGCGGGGTTGAGAGGTGCATCATCTCGACGGCACAGCAGGCGAGGCCGAAGGTCATGGGCCAGAGAGAGGATTGGCGGGCCCAGTTGACGATGCTGTCGAGGGTTGTGCTATATTTGAGTGTGTGTTAGTGGCATGTCCTTGTTGCTGTGTTGTTGTGGAGAGGGCATAGGGGATATATCCTTGTCCGGATGTCAAGAGCGGATGTGGAGTTCGTGGAGCCCTCAAAACGTGTAACGTACAGAGCATATTGAACGGCGCCCTTGGTGCCCTCCTGGCTGGGAAGAGGAACCTCTCTGCGCTCGCGCCTGGCGATGCCGTGCTGTGCGCCCGCAGGGGCGACGGCACCCGTGGCGTCCTTGCGGGAGGACGAGGAGATGGAAGCGACAGCGGCCGCGCGGAAGGGGACGATTTGGGCAGTCGGCCGGGCTGTGGATAGTTGGTTTATCGTCAGCTGGAGTTCGTCGCCGTGGGGATTTCGTGATGGAGCTGTCGAATGACTCGCGCGCTGAGTCTCCGTCGCATACAGAAAACAAAACACAGGCATCACCCACCTCTAAGAGCCATTGAGGCGCCTGTCCTCACAGAGGACAACATGTTGGAAATATCAATTGTCGCAATAGGAGCGAGGTCTAGGTACCTGGGGAAAGGAGCGAGAGCGAAGAGGGTCCGGAACGGGGCTCGCAATGATAAGTAGTAAGTATCGACGTCGTCCGTCCCACTCTGCGGTTACACAGCGAGCCTCCGACTCCCCTCAGCGACGGGACTTCAGTTAGTTACTTACAGTGATGCTGCGGCTTAGCCAAGTTATCCCGAGCATTTGCCTCCATAAAGTGACCCACTTTGTGGCGTCGAATAAGGCTGGGGATTTGAGGATTGAAAAGAGCTCGCTTTCCATTGGTCAAAGCATGATTTCTCTTTCTGGGGAAGTTGGAGCAACAGGGGAACTCCAAAGGGCTTCTGGGAAGGACTCCTACTCGTCCCCTTCCGCGCTGGATGACCATGTCGTTTTAAATCCGTGCATCTCGAATTCTCGCGGTAATCTGCATTGAGCGCAGTGCATCTGATATATTTTGCCAAATCTTGATAAGGTCATCCTCACCCTGGAGTGTTGGCAGGGAGACACGCCTATCACTGTCCTTGGGTTCCTGATTGAGACTAAAAGTAGTGCCATCCCTGTCTCAATGTTTTGTTTAAATACGCTAAGGAGTGCCAAGATGTGGTGATAGCTTCATTGTTACATCTATATAGCTTCCCACAGAGGACCATAATGCTATTGATCGCAGCACCCACTGATGATGAAACACAACCAAGGAAAAAAGTTAAAAAAAAAAAAAAAAAAAAAGTTAACAAAAAAAGAGAGGACAAGAGCTGGAATCGAACGGCTGACGTCACGTTCAACTGGAAGGGAGTAGAAGAGCCCTATTTGCGTAGCCGGAAGACGCCAGCTTACAGTGCTTCCAGGGAGGTTCTCCCCCGCCATTTAGATCCCCGTTGGGTCACCTACGGCGGCGAGGGCCCCCCCCCAGCATGTGGTGCACTACCCTCCTTGTGCAAAGAGAGCTCAGCGCACCACACCGCTCGACCACGCAGCCACTTGTCAGGTGGTTGGATACTTATCAACTTGAGGTCCTTTATGAACCCCAAGCTGAGGTCCCGCGTGCATGCATTCTGGGGTTTGAAGACAAGTGGTATTTCCATAGCCTCAGTGGTCAAAGAGCTGCTGTAATCTATCGACAACATGGCAAACGATACAGAAAACGCGCGCCAACACCTTCCTCCTGGTTTTCCCTCCCGCCCAATAACGCCTGCGAACAACAATCTGGTCGTGATATCGCATCAGCCTAGTTAAAAAAAAAAGAAGAGAAAAAGAGGGATACCAGCTATCTCTTAAAGATCCTAGGTATGGTCGAAAACAAAAGGCCCCCAGCTGGCCATCATCTGTCCGGCCAAGACTCAAGCCATTCTCTTGTCCGTGTCAGCCGACGCGTTTTCGCCAAGCTCGGGGTTGAGATAATTGGCGTCTTCGGCAGCCTCGTAGTCGGCAATAAGGTCCATGACGACCTCCCTGGCTTCGTCAAACTCGTTGAGGTTTTCAGAAAACGGCGCCGTCTTTTTGTAGGCTTCCATAAAGGCGTTGCGCTTCCGCATACCATCGTACTGCCTAACAATACGCTTGAAAAGCTGTGTGAAGAAATGTCAGTTTGATCATCTATCTAGCCAACACAGCAGCAGTTGACGTACCGTAGCAATACTAGTATGGTTTGCCAACATCAAACCACTGACACGATGTGCCATAGTCACGTAGGGACTCCTCTTGGTCAGTGCCACCTGGATGCTAGCGGGACCCCAGGGAATGAATGTAGCAAGACGACGTTCCCTAATACGGAGCAGACTCTTGTGCACATCGGTTGGGTCCACGTCGCCCTGGATGACGTTCAGGATGGAAATGTAGCAGCTCTTCTTGCCGGGTACAGTAGACACCATGCGATTCTTGGGCTGCAGCAATCGTCGCATGACGTCGAGAACCGTCGTTTTGCGCACCGTCTTTGCCTGCTCTACCTGGTCGCCAGTGAAGGGCGTGTACGACGTCATCAAGAAGTGGCATCGAGGAGTCGGAATCAAGGACGCGAGAATGCTGACCAGGTCGTTGTGCATGTAGCCGGGGTATCGAAGGGTGGTTGTGCTGGCAGACATGACGGTCGATACGAGCTGGTTCGTCTGTTGGAAGGATGGCTCTTGTACGTGTAGTCTGTCGGCGGCAATGTGTGACAAGGCGCCGTTGTCAAGCACCACTACCGAGTCGGCGTTTTGCGTTAACCTCCTCATGGCAAGTAAACTGTTGTAGGGGTGCACGACAACATCGCCGGCGCTGGTCGTGTCGGGAAATACCGAATATGTCTGGATGATCTTCTTGGGGAAGCGGTCGTTCAGTCGCTCGAGTAGGAAAGAGCCCAGACCTGATCCTGTGCCGCCGGCGATGGAGTGTAACATCATGAAGCCCTCGAGGGAGTCGCTGCCGTCGGCTTCGCGCTCAATCATCTCCATGATCTCCTCATGTACTTGCTCGCCTGTTTGGTAACCATCACCCCAGTTGTTGCCCGCACCAAGACCGCTCTTGCCCACGTAGAAGTTTTCTGGGTTGTATATGTTCCGGTATGGTCCGGTCTGGATGGTATTGATGACTCTGGGTTCGAGATCGATCAGGATGGACCGGGGAATGTATCGCGTATCGTCGCTCTGGTAAAAAAAGACATCTTTACGGTCGCCGCCTTCGGTCGCAAAGTCCTCGATGGTTCCGTCTTGGCTGATGCCATGCTCCAGACAAAGCTGCTGCCAGAACTGGCTTCCGACTTGAGAATGTTAGAAGAAACTGCGCGTCCAGCTGCCGGATGTCGAGGCGCAAGACTGGGTGAAGGTCGACTGCCTCGTCGGGTTGAATCGGGCACTCACTGCTGTTGCCGCACTGGCCGGCCTGGATGGTTATTATCTCTCTGTTTGCTGGTTAGTCACGATATGTTAGGTGCTGGGATGAGGGACGCGTACCTGGGCATGGTGGTGGCATTAACGAGGCGCGAGACCTCTAGGCGGAAATTGTTGCAATTGGGACAAAAGCGGAGGGAACATCGGTAAACATACCTAAGGACGTCAGCAGAGCACGCTTGGTAGTTCCCCACATTGCAGCACGTTGCCCACCGGCCACCGCTACTACGCTAAGATTCCCGCGTCGACGCGACAGAAACGGGAGGAGATGGAACCTAGCTGCCGTGCCCCTGCGAACGCTCCAAGGGAAATCACCTTCCAAAGGCTACAGTGACGCCCGCTGTCAGCTGCTAGCAGCATGATCGGAGAGGGGCACCTAAGACATCCAATGATCCCTCCTCTCCATCCACCTATCTCGTGGCTGGCTCCCGTCGGCTGGATCTAGCAGTTCCAGGACCCGGGATTGCTAACCCTGTCGGGTATAGCTTCTGTAATTCGTTAAGGGCCGTCCATGCCTGCATGTCCAGGCACTCCAACCTAAAATGACAAAACCCCATTTTCCAGCAGGGCAGTCCAGGTGCGACGGGGGCCTCCCTCAGCGCCCTTCCACTTGGTTACTGTAGCGGAGTATTGCCCTGCGCTACCTTGCACCAACGTGACGGGACGGGATCCTTCGTCTCACCACTTTGACAAACAGGGCACCCGACACACGTAGGCAGGCGTCTTGCACGTTTTACCCCTCCACATGACGGGGAACGTTGACGTAGAACGAAGAGAGGTGACGGTCAAGAGATCAGACAGAATCCTGAGGTAGAGAGAGTAGTTGACCGAATCAAAAACAAAAAAAACTATTGCTCTTGGTTCACTCATTCAACTGGACCTTACTACGCACAGGTACAACAGACAGTTACCGTACCGGACGATACAGGTAACAGTAACAGACGAGCACGGCCAATAAACAACAACTTCCAAGTTTGACCTCTCTCCTGCCCCTTTTTGCGTCTACCTTTTCCTTGTACGGGGATGCCCGCTGTGTACTAGTAGAGTACTATTCCAAGGGTTTACACCTTGCTTCAATCTCCAACGTCACCTCATCTTGGTTCAACTTCTCTACTTCGACCTCCCCCTAAAACCGACTGTATCTGCCAACTTCACCTTGGGAGGTACTTCATACTGTTCAAGGTAGCCACGCCACCGTCTCCATCTTCTTTCACCGACCTTGTTGGCCCGATTGGAACCACTCTGCCACTCTTCTCCCGGTCGTTGGCTCGTTCCGATTAGCAATTCCGATTATTCAAAAGTTGACCGCCGTCTTCGAGCCCCTGGAGAGTCAACCCGCTTTCCTCGAGCGTGACCATTTTTACCGTTACTTGTGAGCCGCGGCATGTTTCGCTACCGAGGATCCTACCCCTTCTTCCTTCAAGATACTGTCCACATCTCCCAGCATCAAGGCCAAGAACAACAACAGCAACAGCAACAGCAACAGCATACTTCACCAGTCCCCCGGTAGGCTGACCAACCGTCAACCGCCCATCTTCTGCCATGGCCGACCCGACCCGATCCAGTTCGGCCAGTCTGCCTGTGCCAACACAGTCGCGCAAAGAGAGTGTTCTGCAATCAGGGACCCTCGAGGAACTACCGACAATCACCCAGGCCCAAGTGTTTGGCGTTCCGTCGCCCATCGGCTCCGACCAGTTCGACTTCGCCACTAAGGCGAGCTCTCCAAAGACACCGAGAGCTAACGAAAGCCCGTCCGCCTCGGACTACCTGAACGGAGGCCAGGCACACAACGACGGTGTCTCCCCCGTACCCGATCAAGACCCACCCGCCTGGCTACCGCTCCAAGATGTCAACCAAACCACTACTCGCTCCTCCGTGCCCTCGACCCTTCCCACAGCTGGCACAGGCCCTTCCGATGTGCCCTACTCCGAGCGCAGCGTACAGTTTGCCAACAACGATGTCGTTCTCGAACCCCCACCCGTCATACACCACGAGCGCCATGCCTCATGGGACACCAAAGATACCATGAACAGGATTCGAGGGTCCAGCTTCATGACCAAGTTGAAGGAGCTCGCCGGCCCCAGCACCTCGCAGACCTTCAAGTCTCCAAGCTACCCTCCCGAGATTAACTCTACAGCTAGCTCCCCAACCGTGTCACGCCATCGTCAAGCCCGGTCAGTTGACGACCGCAGCGACGAAGACGCCGACGCAGAGGAGACTGCCGATGAGAGGGTGGGGGAGTCACA